GACATATGCAGTACAGCTTCATATCTACAAAGTTCTATCAGTGTTGTTATTAGAAAATATAGCCACTGGAATTGTCTCTCTCACTGAAAAGTTGAATCAAGCTCTCCTATTCCTTGTTTCTTATATTGCAACTGTCAGAACGTATTGAAAGGAAGTGCTGAGGGGCTGCTTTTCCTCTCAAACACCTTTCTTATTTATTTATCTAGCCTTCTCCAACCCAAGGTTTCAGAGTGAGTGATGAGCTTCGGCTATTGGGAGACAGAGAAATGAAATAAATTCACTGGTCGCTAAAAACAAACCCATAAACAAATGCATCTCACCAATTTTGGAATACGTACAGGCTCAAACTTTTAAGTATCCAAGAGGAGCAAGCAGTCAAGAAGTTGTATTTCCCCAAGTCAGAGCAATGGTTCATTTATTGCCTGCACTGAGGATGCAGAGTGTATAACCCCCCAGATGTTGTTGGACTGCAACTCCCATCATCTCTCACCACTGACTATGGCAAAGGCTGTAGGGAGCTGCCCTTCACTAAGATACGGAAGGCCACACATTCCCCACCCAGGCTACATGCTAACTGGGAGCAGCTCTACAGATTTTGGACAAGACTCCCAATTTTACCTTGAGATACTACGAGCTGCACCTGGGATTTTCTCCATGCAAAGTCAACTACAAACCATCCCTACAAAACACGTGTTTTATTACTGAGCTGCATCATTTTCCACGTTACGTTTGAATTGCATATTAATTTACATGAACTCATAGCCCATCCTATCTAGCAGTTCAAAGCAGTTAAACACAGACAGCAGCCTATAGCCATCCCAGCCCATTAAATTTATTTATTTATTAAAACATTTCTATGCCGCCCCTTGCCGAAGCCTCCAAAAGGTAATCCAGGCATTCTGCTTTTCTGGTCAATGAAAAGGAATTTGCCCAGGGAAGCTACACAGAGGTTGTGGTCTGTGGTGCTTTTCATTGTTCCTTTAGCCACACAGCTTTCTGAATTACAGTTAACAGCCTGCACCTGCTGAAACATCCACTTTGAGGACACTGTTAAATGTACAACATTCTTGTCATTGGTATCTAGTCACAATCCCTCCTCACCTCCTTGTATGTCCTTGAAGGATCAACTTCATGCATGGCTACTCTTGCTAAGAGGATACTTTCTGAAGATTTATCTTACATGGTGATGGGGAAAAGATGCTCACGCCGTAAGGAAAAGAGTGTACTTTTTTACTTGACTTAATTTAGGGTGAGATGTGTTTATCACCTATTTGAAAGAACAAGGTTTTCGGTTCTTGCGCTTGAACATAACTGGTGTCAAAGCACAACAAAGCAGGCATCCCTTCCCCAAGAGCACTGGCAGCCCCCCTTAGAAGACTGGGCTTCAAAGGGGCTGAAGCTCAGTGTGACAGAGCAGACGGTTTGCATGAAGGTCCCTGGTTCAAACCTTGGGAATCTCTAGGCAGAGCAGGAAAAACTTCCTGTCTGAATCCAGGAGACCCACAGCTGCCAGCCAGTGACGGCAATACTGGACTAGATGGGCTCAGGGTCGGACTCTGCATACAGGGGCTTCCTATGTTCCAGAGACCACCAGAAAAGCTCCAGGGGTTTCTGAACTGGATCAGAAATCATGCACCAACCTAGAATGTGTCACACTAAGGAAATACTACCAGCACACAGCGCTACGATTTTAAATACCAGTAGAAAAAGAAGGTAAAGCCGCAACATGCAGCATTGTGGAAAGTCGCAAGAGAAAAGCAGGAGGGAGAGAGTGAAGCAGAAATATCATCTATTTATTAGAAAATCGTCCTACAGTTTAAGGGCAGTTCAGAGAGTCGAGCGCCTGCCCTATCCAGCAGCCAAAGTCGGGAAATCAGGAGCTGCACCCTCGCCAGAGGCCCGATCCTATGAACGTCCTACCAGTTTAGGCGCATTTTCGAGCTGCAGCCATTCGCACGCTCCCTAAACTGAGGCGCACTTTTCGGGGGGCCGCCCTGCGCCTGGCCAGGCGAGCTCGGGTGCCTGTCCAGGGGCGGAATCCCGCACCTCCCGCCGACCGCGTCAGAGGCGCGATCCCACCCAGGCTGGGAGAGGCCCCGCAACTGCCCCCCGCGGGGGTGGGCACGTGGCCACGCCCTTCAGGCGTTTTCCTCGCGCCGATAAGCCGCCTCGCCTGTCCGTCTTGCGAGGAGGGGCGGCGGGCAAATCAAGTCCGCGCAACGGACTTCTCCCGCCGCCCCGCGGCTCTGCCCGGCCGAAGACGGGGGCCGGGCGGACGGGAGGGAGGGACGCCCCCGCGGGCGGGGAAGGCGCGGGGCCGTTAGTTACCTGGCGCGCGACCGGCGTCGCCTCAGCCGCGGAGCGCGCTCGCCGGAGGGGGCGGGGGGCGGTTTCGCTTTCGCGCCATTTACGCAGCCGCCGCCGTTTGGCTGAGGAGGAGGAGGCTGCCCTCCGCGCGCCTCGGCTAGCCCCGCCCCGGCCGCCACGGCGCTTGGGCTGCCGGGACGGGATTGGCTGCCGCGCTCCCGATGCCCCGCCCTCGCCCCGCCTCCGCAAGCGCCGCCAGGGGTTGGGGCGGGCGCCCCTTTGCCGCCGGCCCAGATGTGCGGCGTCGCGGCTCTGGCTGCCCGGCGGCTGCAGCCCGAGGGTGCCTGTAGGGGATCGGCATCTGGGGCGGGGGTGTTATGGGAGTTGTAGTCCAAGCTGTGGAGAGGGTGCCGCTTGGGGGTGGCTGGGCGGTTATGGGCGTTGCACTCTGCGCAGCTGGAGGACAGGAGCGCTGGGCGCGGTGGAGAATGAATTACGCCTGTTTGGTGGGGGGCGGCACCATGCCCGTGTTGAGGGGATCCTCTTGCTTCCCCACCCATGCAGGAAGATCGGGATCTACCGGTGGATTTCTGGATGATTTGCTGTACATCGGCCAAGATTTCTGAATCCGGTATAACAGAAACCAGAATAAAGCAACAGTAGATTTCTGTGTGCACGGTCCATTTGGTTTAGATTGCTGGGCTAGGAATGCTTTCTTTCGAGGTGCAACAGTTTGGTGAATCTTGGGATACTGTTTTAAAAAAATAAATAACCCCACCCCTGCGCATAGGTCACAGAAATTAGAGGTCTGCCCACCCTGCCCCAAATCATGTATTTTCAATGAAGTCCTATGGGTGTTTAGCCAGCTAGAGAATGCTGGGAGCTGAAGGCCATTTTGGCTAGATATGCATAGCAGTCTAAATTGCTTAGATCTAATTGTATTATTTATTTTTTATTTATTTATTTAAAACATTTCTATGCCGCCCCCATTGCAACAAAGCCTCGGGGTGGCTCACAAAGAATACATAAATACATACATAAATAATGATAATATAACAAAAAAAAATTATTACAGTTCTTGAATTAATTTTAATTGTAAGCTGCCTTGGAGGCCCTGGTTAGGGCAAAAGGGCACAAATGCTTTAATCAACTATAATAAATTGGCCATTAAATGTATACCTGGCCCATTGGAAAGGCTTTTCCCAGGCTGGCTTACAAGTATCAACGCATTTTTTAAAATGTCATTAGAATGATGTAATAAACCACAAAAAGCAGCACAAAACCAATTTTGGAGAGAGCAGAAGCTATTACAAGACATGCAGAGAAGGGAGAAATGCTTTTGCCTGGCCCTGACAAGATGACAGAAGTGATCCTTCCTGGAGAAGGTATTCTACCGTTAAGGGCCACCACTGAAAAGGGAAACTGAGTGCCTGTGTTTTATTATGTTTTATTACATTTACATTCTCACTGGAGTACTGGATTAGAGTTGGGCACATGCAGGTTCAGATCCTTGTTTGGCCATGAAGCCCACCTTGGGGGAGTCACCATAGCACAGCCCAAGCCCAGGTCAGCGTTGTAGTGAGAAAGAACGAGAGAAGTAAAAACAGCAGATGGCGTTACAGCTCAGAGGTGGAGCGACTATTTGCCTGCAGCATCTCTGGGTGGCTCTGGAGTAACTCCTGCCTGAAACCTGGAGGGGAGAACCAGCACTGCTGGTCAGTGTCAGCTGTACTGAGCTATATGACTCAGGAGCAGTCTCTGTATAAAGTGGCTTTCTACGCTGCCATGAGGAAGGCGAAGAACAAAATGTAAAAATACATGATGGGAATTTCTTCCATGTTACCGTGTTAGCAACATACTGTTTTGATGAATTCCCCCACCCAGAACCAGTTCTCTTTTGCTCAAACAATGCTGTGGCATTGTTTTCGCTGGCAGACCTTAAATTTGCCCCACTGCCAGCCTGCCTCATTGCTGGAGGTCAGAAGTGGGGAACAGGTTAACTTTCTGATGGTGTTCACCTACAACTCCCATGGTGCCTGAGCACTGCTGGTTGAGAGTGATGCGAGTTAAGAGTCCAACAACATTTGGGGAGGAGGTGCATTATTAGCCATTTCTTGCATTGATCTTGCCGGTCACCTGCTCTCAGCCTAATGTAATTTCCAGGTTTTTGTGAGAATAAAATAGGAGAATTTTGTAAGCCACCTTGAATTACTCACAAGAGAAAGAAAACTGGGGTTTAAATACAATGTAATCATAATCATCCTATGATTTTAGTTATACTGAATGCTTTCATTAAAATGATCATAAGTGCTTTCAGTTCAGCTGGATACCAGCCAAACTAACTGAATCTGTTAATTTGACAAATTATATTCACATAGTTCCTCAAATGCCATTCTTGGGGGAAAAAATCAGTGAGATGTACAGTTCTCTTAAGCCTGACACTTTTCTATTGAATTAAATTCTGTAAAAAGGCGGTTTGGCTACTAAAATGCATTACTGGAATGACTGGCAGATCATCAGCATCTCATTTGTAGTTCATTGTTAAAATCTTCCTGTTAATGGTTTGTGCACATCTTTGTTTTCCAGCAACTGAGCAGAAATATACCTACCAGACCACACTTCTGCTAGCAATTTTAATAGCGACTGTCATAGATCTTGCTGTGTCCGCTTATGTAGTGAACTCTGGTCATAACCCCAGTTCTTTCTGCCTGTGCTGGTACCTTCATTTATGATCCTCATATGCCAATGCTTTGAAGTTTTAAGAAATCCTTACTGGATACTACAGAAATGCTTAGTGCAGATTGCAAGAGCACTATAATGATAATACAAGGCCTTGATTCTTTCTCTTGCATATTGTATCTATCTGAAAGACATTTTTCCTAAAGCATATATACATATTCCATCCTCCCAAGTTCCCCCCCATTGTTATTCCACAGAGCTTGCATTCAAATAGGTCCTGGTTTCTAGCAGGGTGCATTCAATCACACTCCCAAGTGAGATTTGTCGAACAGGAAACCCTTTAAATCCTAAAGCAAGTGAAAACCTCTGGATATATAGATTCAACACCTTAAAACTATGTAGCATTATCTGGAGAGAAGAGGCAAGCATTATATTTTGCACTCATAGAGTAGGTGTCACCTTCTTTACTTCAACATTCTTGAAGTTGGGCTCCTGATGCCTTGTTTCAAATCCAACTCGATAGCTGATAAAGGAAGAAGCTGAAACACCACGCTATGCGGATGCATGCTTTATCACAAAATGTAACATATATTAAGAAACCAAAGGGCAAACATTAAACATATCATCAAAGCTAAAACGGTTAGCTAAAATAAAAGTTCTATTTGTTCCAGCCCAACCAATTAAGAAAAATAGTTGTTCACTTTATAAAGGCACTAAGGTAAAGAAAGCAAAAAAATTGTAGCAAGCCAAACTGTAACATATCAAGAAAGAAATATTACTGATTTCATTCTTCTCCATAGGTAATTGTTTCTTATAAAACCCTGTGTTTAGATGCAGATTCTCAAATAATGTTTCACAGAGCAAAACAGTACTGCATTCATCTCATTATAATCCAAAGCAATACACTGATACATGCCCAGGATATTAGTAAAATTATAGTATTTTCTGAAGGGCAAGAACATGAATCTTTGTTTGTTGTTGAATGGCCTAGCACCATGTATACATGAAATTGGTATGTCTGGACACTGAATCTTAGTATCAGTGTAACACAGTTGCCATTCCTCTATAGTAGGTTTAAGCCCAGGATCTAAAAACCCCATGTTAAAAACCATCAAGGCTAAGAAGTTTGGAGTTCTGCTCTTTGGTAAGTCTTTAAATTATTGGCAAATATCTTTGGAACAGCCTTCCTCAAGCTGGTGCCCTCCAGATGTTTTGGAATATCAAATGCCAGCTGTCCCGGTGAACTGGTTGTGAATGCTGGGGACTACAGTCCCAAACATCTGGAAGACATCAGCTTGAACAAAAGCTCTTCCATTTTTTTGAGACATGGGCCTCACAGACTTGTAAGCAACTTGTAAGGTGCACAGCTGGATGACCCATTTAAACATCATTTTGGTGTCTTCAGTATCACAGAAGAGGTGTTAAGGATTCTATAAATAGTATAGAAAAGTGTCTTATTTAGAAAAGTCTTAAGTAGTTCCTGTTAAAAAATACATCTTTTGTCTGTCACAGTTTTATAAAATAAAATAATCGAGGTATAGGAATGTCAGCCTGTACCCATTTTAACACCTGCATTTATTGAAGGGTCAACTCTGTATGGGAAGGCTCAGTTTCAGAGCGTGCACATGGCCACTAAGAACTTTACGACTCAGAATATCTCCAGCCTGTTGATTCAAGGTGCTGCAACAGCTGATCACAGTAGGTTGGAGTGCGGTGCTTGTGCACAACTGCTTCGATTTCTTTTGCCAAGGTATCTGGATAGAGCGTACCTCCTTCTTTTAAAACATCTGCAAAACGTAAGATTCTACAGTTACAAAAATTATTTTCTTGGTACAGAAAGGATGCAGTTCTTAAATCTGCAATAGCCTAAATAACTTAAAGGAAGTGGTCCACTGGATTTTTTTTTTGCTATGCTTAGTATCTTTGAACAGGCTTTTGAAGCAAATGGAAGGATCTGAGACAACAATGCTTATAAGCACATATTGACAAATGGCTGTAATTATGAGACTCTAAAACAATTACCAGTTATCTTAGTAGATTTGTGAAGGAAACCAAACATTTGTATCATCAAATGGGAGTAGGCCTGGCCTCAAAACTGATCTTTAGAATGGAAGGGTAAAATGCTACCCTTTTCACAAACATCCCCTCTCTCGTCAGAAAAAATGAGGTTGGTCATATAAGACAGAAAGATAAATCTAGATGGATTTAATACAATATATAATTCACTTGTCATACGCACTGGCTTTTTTTGTTTCGGTATTCCCCAGCATTGTCCCAAAGTCAGTATTATGGCCATGATCCAGAGACACGTGCAACTGTTTCTGCACATAGTAGATTTCTTAAAGCCATTTGAGGCTGCATGGTAATATTCCTTGAAACTGGGAGAGTTTCAAACGCAATTTGTGATTTGGCAGTTCAAGTGTTTCACGTGTGTATTTGCTGTTTAATCACCACCACCACCACCAACAAATCCAACTGGATACTGCTGAAGTGCCTCTCTGGATTCCAGCCGATATTTTAATGCAGTCTATTCAACCCAGTGCCTTACCTAGGATGACAGACTGGATCTTTTGATCAGGGTCATCCAGGTGAACCAACAGTTCCTGATAGAGAACCTCAATATTGGCTTTCAGTAGTGCTTTCTTTTCATCATCATTTATACACCTGAACCAGCTGGTTAAGGCATTCGCGGCAGCTAAACGGACATCATGTGACGTGTCGTCCAAACGCTTTAAGAGTTCTGGAAAAGGAGCGACAGCAGCAGCAGATGGTCATGAGCAGATGCAAATTACATTGTGAAGAAGTTCACAAGTTCGTATTTATACTCTGCTGAGGCTCTAGCAGATCACTCACAAAACAATCAACTGAAAACATTCATTCCATTTTCATTCAACTCATTTAGTATAATTCTATGTTATCCGATAGCCAAAGCTCTGTTGGCAATGCACACCAATTAAAACATGAGAGAAAGCATTGATATAAAACCTTTAACATAAAAACATTTAGTAACACTATAAAGAAATGTGAAGCATTCATTTTCAACTAAACAGGCAAAGATGTGAGAAATCAAATGATAGTAAGTCAGCTTTTGTGTTAGTTCGTCTTTGCTTTCTTCATTCTTTCATTTTCTTCAACTGTCTAGCTGAAAAAGAAGATAGTAAAGAGACACCATTCTGTCACACACCCCTGTCCTCCCCACCAAAACTACACATTGTGCCTATGGATGGCAAGTGACAGTGCTGGCACAGCTATTTTGGGCAGAAAAATCGACTACCTTCATATATGAGAGGCAGTGTGGTGCAGTGGTTAAGAGCATGGGACTGGGACTCAGATGATCTGGGTTCGAGTCCCCGCTCAGTCATGGAGCCAACTGGGTGACTTTGGGCCAGTCACACACTCTCAGCCCAACCTTCCTCACAGGGTGGTTGTTGTGGGGATAAGATGGAGGAGGAGAATGATGCAAGCTGCCTTGAGCCCTTTGCAGGAAAAAGGCAGGATATAAATTGAAAAATAAATAAATATGCAGACTTGGTGCTTCTTTCTGCAACACAACAGCTGTTATGAACGAGGCAGCACGGAGAGACCTGTGTCAGTCGAACTATGCACCAGTTCAGCTTGGGGTGACCAGCAGTCACCTTTGCAGTTCTAGCAGCACCTTTCTCAAGTTTCATCAAACTTCAGCAGTCGAGCGTCAAGGACATGGCCTGAAGGTGCGTGACAGAGCACCCTTGCTAAAGCTAAGTGGGCAGAGGTCTGGCCAATGCCTGGATGGGAGACTATCTGGAAGCCCACCTACCTCTCCTTGGATTCCCCAAGAGAAAGGTGGACTATCCAGTTGTCACCTCCAACACGAGGACCTTTCTGAAAGGATTGTAAGCCCTGTAATTCAATTGTTTAAAGAAACATTCACACCAATGTAACAACTTCTCATAATCGGCCGGGGAGAAAGCTTGGCCGCTGTCATCACCGTGCAACATACCTGGATACATTTTGCTGAGTTCAAAGTCTTTTCCACAGCTGTCTAATAAAGCATGGATGATTCGACAAGACAGTAAGCGAGTCATTTTGGAGTCTTCCTCCAGTGTGGCAATTATCTGAGGTGTCAGTGCATCTCTGACATTCAGCATCTGAAAACAAGAAAAAGGCTTGCCAGCGTCGGGACAACGGACTGCAGGGAGTTCTCAGTCGCTTGCCATCAGCTCATTTTCTGTCGCCAGACTTATGATAACAGCTCATGCCTGCCTGACACAGCCAAATGCAAGGGCCACTGCAGGCGTCAACAAGGCAGATCTCGTAAGGGAAGCTTGCTACACGCTATTCTCTCAGAAGATTCCTCCTCCCTGTTTTGACCACACAATTCAGTAAGCAGTTCAGTAGAGAAACGTGCGTTCTAGAGAAGAAAGGGACTACAGGGAGGGAAAATGCTAGCCCCTAGTCTTACACCCTTATGGCTTATACAATTGAAATTACATGTTAAGGTCCCGAAAACTGCATGGCCCTTGGTGGGGGAATCTAAATTTATGTTTCTCATGGCAGCAACCACACACAGAGATATGAAAGTTTCAAAAGCAGTTCGTGATAGAGTGTTGGTATCAAACAGGGAAATAATTTAAACATCCCTCGGTACACAAACACGTCCTCTGGAGTGCCTGAAGTAGCTCACTGGATACCAGCCACGCTCCTCGTTACTCCTCAGAGCATTTTTGTGTTCCGAATAGCTGCTCTTTCAGCTCCGTGGGGAGAAGGAGAGTTCCGTAAACCCAGCAAGCGAACATTTCAGGGTTATCATACACAGAGTTTGTACGGAGGCAACACAGCAAAACCCTTACATCCCTTATCAGGGTTTTGGAAAAATGGACAAATTCTTTCAATTTGGTAGTTCCTAGGTATTCCAGAAGATGGCGCTCTTGCTCTTGTTCAGACCTAGAAGCAATATTCAACATTTTGAAAGCTAAGACCCATCTTAAGCCTATTCTGCAACCATTTTTGACCATTTTCTCCTTTCTCTTGTTGCTCAATTTCTCCTATGAAATAGCCTGTAAAACACACTAAAGTTTATTTCATTTCTGAATATTTGATAAAACATTTTCATTTGCAAAAAAATAAACCTGTGGCATGTTTGTGTCCTATGTCCACCTAAGGCAGGTATTTTTTGGTCTAATCTTCCATTTCAACTGTTAGTTAAGTCAATTTCCCTGTCTTGGCTATAAACTGCCACAATATTCCCAGACACATAGTAAGGTTAAAGAACATTTATAAAAGACCACCCAACTGTCATGAAAGAAAAATTAAGTGACTTGACTAATAGCCACGTGCTTTATTTTTATTTTATTTATTTATTTATATTGTGATTTATAGCCTGCCTTTTTCCTACAAAGGGCTCAAGGCAGCTTACATCATTCTCCTCCTCCATCTTCTCCCCACAACAACCACCCTGTGAGGCAGGTTGGGCTGAGAGGCTGTGACTGGCCCAAAGTCACCCAGTTGGCGCCATGGCTGAGCGGGGACTAGAACCCAGATCCTCTGAGTCCCAGTCCCGTGCTCTTAACCACTACACCACACTGGCTTTACACCAATGTTTGGGTGCAGGGGTTACTTAGGGTTGCTCTTCTGCCAAATTTTATCAAATCTTCAAAGGACTTGAGCCTATTTTATCAGCCCACTTTTTCCTTGCATAGTAAAGTCTCATTCCTCAGATTTTCCACACAACACCTCTGCTGCTATTTGGGATCCCCGGTTGATACTAACCCACCCCCGCCTTTGTACTTTGTTTGATTCAGGCGTCCTCCAAAGTTGCCTTCCATGTTCCCCAGCCGTGCCTCAGCTTCATTTCGCTCAAGGCCAATGGAGAGTGTTTCAGTTTGGAGATACCATGCAGCACAAAGACAGCATCAGAGGTGGACTGGGCAAATGGGAGAAATTAGCTTGTCTGTGATCTCTCGCAAAGCCTGCCAATTATTTTCTGCAAGATTGTTTCCTCCACTCTGAGGCTCATGCATTACTCAGTTTCATCAAGCAATCCTTTGTCCACCTAGCTATGATCTCTTGGTATCTGTCCTCTGTTCTTCATTGTTGGGAATTACTAAACTTATCTCTCTCTCTCTCCGCTTTCCTCTCCTTTAACTGATACAAAGAAAGGGCTGGCTCCTACCAGCTTCTCCTCCATGTAACAAGGCCTTACCCTTGATCAGGCACAGAGATGCAAAAAATTGAAACATAATACAGGCAGTGCCCAGATATGGCCGAGAGGCTTAAACTGTGCAGCCGCAAGCGCTGCCACTGAAGTTACCCAATCTGCTGCTTTGCATCCAATTCACACAGTACTTTCTTCACAGAGCCCTGGATATTGTGGGTTCCAATCGTGGGCAGGGTGCGAGTTTTGGTTAGGTTTAAATAGGGATGTTGGGAAAATCAGAAATGGATCCAAATGACGCTAAATTTTTATGGATCTGCCAAACAGAGTTTGCAACAGCTCAGTATCTTTTGAGTCACATGGATTCCATGGTCTTGCAGATTGTTTAGTTTCCACTACTGTATACAAATTTAGTTTACAAAAGAAACTGGAAAATAGTTGTGTACATGCTGTTCCCCCCACCCCCACCACACACACTGTATACTGCATAGCACTACTTATTGTGTGCTCTGCTCACTGACTGCATGCCGAGCTAAGAAAAATACGCAAAATGTCATGAGCCAGGAAAAGTTACAGGATGTGTGGAAGACTTTAATGTACTGGAAGAAATGTGTACACTGAACTGATCAAACGGAATTCTTGTTTCTAGAATGCTAGTGGCCAGAATTGCAAGAAAAGTGCAAAGCAACCAAGAAAAAGTGTGCGGAGAACATTAAGGCACTGGAAAGTGAAGGAGAGAGCCGGCGCAAGGTCTTTCCCCAAACTCTTGGGCTTATTTAAGAGCCCGGAAGCATCACATCTGTACCAGGGCTGTGTGAACTGGCAGTCCCCAGTTTTGCTGGGGCAGCTAAACCTATCCTAGATCAATTTAAGTTCATGTGACACCATGTGAATCGAGTGCAGGTCCTCAAATATGTTTAAAATTAAACATTTAAACAATCTGGATAAAAGGGAACATAAGCACAAATGGATGTCAGTCGGCCTGGTGTTTTGCACTCATTAGCCAAGAAGCCTTGAAGGAGGGAGCAAGCTTGCTTCATTCTGGGCATCTGGATCAAATATCGCCTGTACGAGACTTGAAGCCATGAGCAAAGGGACTAAGAACTTGCAGGTGAAGGAAAGAACCACCCCGGATTTCAAGGGAGGGGCCAGCTCTTCCCTACAGCACTGTTTGCACGTGAATAGTTCTGGCACTGCTGCCTTGATCTCCTTCTGTATATTCTATCCATAATATGCTGGACCTTGATGGTTTACTCACTGGGTCCTTGCTAACTCCTTTCCACCAAGTGCCATTCTCAGACTGAACCATGATCAAAATCCATCATTTTTGGCTGCATTTTGACAACAGCATGAATTTATTTTTGAGAGAGAGAAGATTGGCACTTCTGGGTAACAGTAGCTGCTGCAGGTTCAGAGGACGGCTTATAGGGGAAGAGCAGGGAAGTTTACCTCTTTTGGAGAGAGCAGTCCGCTGCAAATAAGAGCCCAGAGGCACGCTACAGCCGTGGTGCGGATGGCAGCTGCTGTTCTTCCAACTTGCCACTGCAGATTAGGAGCCAGGATGTCTTTTATCACCATCTCAAGGTAGTTACAAAACTGCCTGAAGCCAAGAACAAAGAGGAGCAGAATGAAAGCTTTGTGCAAACGTGATGGAATGACTGGGAGGATGAAAAGGCATATTTTCAGTCTTGAAAACAAGATAGCCAGAACAGGAAGAATGGGGCATAAAGTGGGGGGAGGGTCCCTAATTGATGACAGCATATGTTAACCATGTTTCATTACTTCAATTTCTTTTGAGGTAAAATGAGGTAATATAAATGGGCTTTGTATAAACAACATTTCAGGAAAGGGGTTCTCTTTTCAGTGTCAGCTCTGCCAATAAGGTCCCTTCTCCTGATAGGCCCCTCGCTCTGGTGCCGTGGGGCCGGCTCATTTCATATTGACAAAAAGGAGCCACAAGGCATCCAACCAGAATGTATGATCATTACAGGGGAGACGCATGCTTTGGTAGAGACCGTTTTGCAGAGGATGCAGCCAACGGTTTGTGAGGGTACCCAGTGAACATGCGTGTCCTCGCATCACTTCTGCTTTCATCCAGCTTAGCAAGCCACCCAGGAACACCCCATTCCTGGGCTGTGGTCATGACATGCAAACCCATACTTAACAATGCAGAGCCTGAATCCAATGTTTATTTGGATAACACTTTGGGTAATCCTAAAAAGCAACACAAAACAAAACAACAGATTGCCGGGTTCGTATGTCATGACAACCTGGGAGCCAGGTGTTTACAAAGCCAGAACCGAAGTGGAAGCAGTGGATGTGTGGGAGAACGCGAGCCCGACTGATATGGGCATGCCAATGGCTTCCCATGGTTCTTTAACCCATAACTGGTTGTGATGTGCAAGTTGGATCGGTAACAAGTGTTTTGCCAGCCCTGAAGTGACAAGAGCTAAACGGGGCCATCAAGATATGGGTACTCATTTATAGGGTTGCCACAAGTCAGAGACAGTGCGGCGGCATGCAACAGCAGATGCGTCACAGGCTACAATCAGGACGAACTGTATAAGATGTCCAAGCATACGTCTGTAGCTAGGGTACAGGTAAGGACAAACCAATTGTTGTAATGCCTTTGGTCCCAAGTGTGACATTTGGGGACCATTCAAAATATTTAGATAGCAAAGGCAGAGCTTGAAAGCAAACAATATCAGTGATCAGCAATCAAACTTAAACATGGTTACTGCTCCACTGATCACAACCTTTCCTCTTCTCTTCTGGCACTAGGCTTATTTGCACAAATTATTTTCCCCCAGAAGACAAATGCAGTACAGATTTCTGCATTTATGATGTTTAACTTGATCTCAATGGAAAAGGTTGATCCTGAAGTACTTGATTGAAGGGAAAGATATTATTTTGACAATGGTCCGCTACGGCAAGGATTTTTACTGCCTCCTCCTCCTCCTCCTCCTTCCTATTCCCAGTGACTGGGACTCAAATTGCATAGGATTTATAATCTAATATCTAAATAGGTACAGATTTATAATTGTGTTGCTACTTTCCCAGGCACTGGCTGGTCAATAATTCTCTGGGAACACCAGCTTTAAATTGGTCTCCTCTGTAAGTTGAATCCCTCCAACACCAAAGCATTTTCATTTCAAAAAGATTTCAATTTTAGAGAGGTGAAAAACTGGTTCCCAGAGTTATACAAGTGCACGTTGTCTCTGACACATGATCAGCTGTTGTGTGCCGTGACAGGTCATGGAAAAGCACTTTTACAGTGATTCATGTGACACAAATTGTGCACATGATGCCAGCCTTAGACAACCCACTGCACACAGGCTGGGGATTCTCATGTGCAACCACTCCAGGCTGCAAACAACGATTTTGCGAATTGGCCATCACAACACGATTTCTCCGTCCTCCGGCAGGTGGCATTTAAGAATCAGTACTGGAGAGAAAAACCGCTCAAAGCTCCAATAAAAGCTCACCACTCAGATAATCTAACATTCCTGTTTTAAATGAGGTATGCATGAGGGGCGTAGCTGAGCAAAAGTGTGGACCGACATTCAAATGCACATCCTATGGGAAACAGCAATATGGATAAACTGCACCAAATGTGGGCGCAGGTTCCCGTGCATTGTCACAGAGATCTGGAAGCTGAGCTGGAAGAGAGAACTGGTTTTCCAATCCAAATCAATTTAAGGTTTAATGGAGCGTCTGGTGGCGGTTTGAAGTCGCTATGTATAGCAGCTGCCTGGATGCAGATAAGCAGTTGCAGGAGCAGGATTTGCCTCTCACACGCTAATCGCACCCCTAAATACTAGACTTCCTACAGGCATGAGGATCATACAGACACACTTATGCAAAACAAGGTGTAGCAATGGCAGTACTTTGCCAGCTGCTTGCAGGCAGGGAGCTGCCGCACTCGGCAGGTTTTCAAAAATACAATGAAGCCTGTCCATTGTCTGACCAAGCTGAGTGAACCTTTCAGAACCTGATATGGTTTAATTGCATTTGTTAATACAGTAGATGATCAGGTTATGAAAAGCTACATAGAAGAAAAAATGGAATTATTTCAAACCTACAATTAGCTCCAAGGTGGTCTGTGTTGAATGACCCTTAGGAGCTTCCACATTTTCAGTAATAGTTTCTTTTAATCCCTTAAAAAAATGTGTCAGAACCACAAAAGGTGGGCTTTAGCAGACCTACTTACCCACCTGCAATGGAATGCTGTATTAAGATGGATAACATTTAAAAGTGGGTGATTTTTTAATATCTTTGGGGCAAAACATGAGCAAAATCTTGGCAAAATGAGTTGTCTGCCTAAGACCTGTTTCACAAGGTATACTGCAGTCTGTCAATATACATCAGTAAAACACCCAAACGCTACTGCCGGAAAACAAGGGCTATTGCATTGTTTAAAAAGTAAGTACACACAGACTTGCTTGAAAAGATGAAGTAGTCATTCAAATATAGAAATATGCCTGGCTGTTGCTCAGGATGAGATTTAAACTGCACCGTTCACTCCCTGCTATGGAGGGCATGGATTGCACCCAACAGTTGTACTCATTCATGAAGCACCTATTGCTAGCCATACAACGGCAAAAAATGACTTTATAATGCGACATTATATGATTCTAAATTGTTTTTGTTAAAAGGAAGGAGTGAAAAGGATCAGCCCGACACAAAGGAAGCAGAAGAGCAAAGAGAGATGCAGGCCTCAAGCTAATTCTTGAAAATAGGTGGCAAATTTTGGAAATTCAAGCAGGATACCAGAGGAAGACATATGAAAGTCCTTTACTCCTGAGAAAGAAGCTGAAATAAGATGGACAATATTCACGAGATCAACGGCTTCCTTAAAGCAGCCCTTACAACAATGAATTGGCTCCGATGAGTATCCTTTTCATAACCCACACAGGTACTTTAATTGACTTCAAGCTGACTTTTGTGAAAGCAAGCATGCAAAACTCCTTTTCTCAACAGAAGAACTGCACCAACAACAGCTGCAGGACAGGCAGAAAACCAACAGACACAGCTTTTCCCAGCATTGAGACATAGCTATTTCTGTAGGACTGCCACAAAACCTCTGTTTGAGTAAAGGTGCCAATCCTACAAGAACTGTGGTTCACCTGGCCTTGGAAATGTTCAGTAAACATGCTATTCTTAAAAAGAAAATGTTTTATAGGAAATACGGCACACGAATTCTGGGGGGGGGGGGGGGGGGAAGACCCTAATCATTCTAGTAAAGCCACAGTCTGTAATTCCATCAACATGGCTCCTATTCAAACTTCCTTAGGGTCAACGTTACCAGGTTAACACGGATGTGGGGTTGTGGGGTTTTTATGTATTTTATTTGATTTGTGTTTTCAGCCGCATGCCTGTTCCTTTTGTTCGCAGGGCCAATGCAGTTGCTAAGAATGATTTGCAATGAATGACATCACTGCACTCGGAGTGTTGTTCAGAATTCCTGCCCTACCACCAACCAAAAAACCCTCCCTGAGGCTGCAGACGCCAAGGGTTACAATGCGCAACTGGCTGCTCGCCAGGCGATGAGGCAGGTGTTGGGACTTGTTGGCTGGCTCCAGCCCAAGTGCTCAGAGATTTAGCTAGTGTCCAAAGCCCAGCATAAGGCTGGAAGCAGAAGCAGCAGCTTCTGGAAAATACCCTCCTGCGCCTTTCCCTAAAGCCAGCTCCACCCCCGGTAAAGCCACTCCACCTTGGGAGCTTCCCCTTATTTCTTCATCATACACTCAGCACACATTTACGTTCACTGCCAGAAATAAATCAAATCCCACTATGCAATAATAGTTCAACGTGTTGTTGCCAAACACTGCTGGGATTTATAGATCTGATGGGGGACTTCCTTGCTCCGTTGTATCAGCTTGAGCGTACCTATGCTTTCTGCAGTGTAAGCAACCACCACAGAGGCTGCCTGGCCCATCGATAGCTGACACCGTTGGACTGCCATTTGCAACAGCCCTGATAATAAGGCACGAAGGGACTGGCACTCCAACAATACCTGGGGGACTACACATTTGGTCTAGACATACATTTTCTCTTAGTAGAAAATCTCTGGCTAAGCTCCTCTAAGTTCAGAAGCTCCTTTTCTACAAGAAGCTCCCAGGCTCATACAATTATGAGAAAAGCTCTACAAGCATGGAGTTTGGGAAGCAACATGGACGTAGCTGGAGAGCTGTAAGCTCTGGTTTGTTCCTCTGGGTTTTTCTATTTTTGTACTCAGTCACGAGGAGCTACCACGATTTTCACGTTCCCCCTGGTGGGCTACAGAAGCCGCCACGACCGGGTCTGTACACCAGGCCAAGAAGCAGAATAGGGCCCTCACGCATGAGGTGGTAGGGCTGGAAAAGCGGGGAATAGCATCAGTCCCCTGTCCCCAGCCTGAGGAGGCCACCGTGGGCACCTTGGGTGGGTGCAGCAGGCAGCCCTGTCAGCCGCCTCCCTACCGAGGTGTTTGCTGGAGAAAGAAAGCAGCCAGGGAGTGGGTATTTGGAGCAGAAGCTTGCCCTCTACGGCTGCAGGGCTCCAGGGTTCTTGGGACCGATCTCCGGGTACGTGGCTGAGGGATCTTGCAGTCTCTTGGCAGTGTGCTGAACTCTTGTGAGAGTCTGGGGCCACTGATATTTCAGCCCTCCGAGCTGCAGCGGCCACTGCGTGACCCTCCCTGTCCCTGCTGCCACCAGTCCCAACCCTGTGCGGCGGCAAAGAAAGGGAGGCAGGTTCTTCAGGCTGGGCTGGCAATGGCAGCAGGGCGGGGGGGTGAGGAAGGTCATGACGCCGTGGATCCAGCACAAGTCCTTCTGCTTCAGGCAGCAGGGGAGGGCACACCAGGCCTGCCCCAGGCAACCTGCAAACAGAGTCATCTGAGAACTGGCACTAGTGCACGAGAACCAAACCACACCTTTTCTTTTGACAGTGGATGGGAAAGCACTACCTGCAAACTGAATGAACAATGAAAAAATGGTGCTAACCCTTGAGAATTGATGGTCTCATTGGGTTTCTGAAGCAGCTGGCATAAAGATGTGAAAAGCTTCAGACGCATCCGGGGATCTCTTGAAATTTGAAGGCACGTTTGAAGGATGAGCATAAATTCTTGAAGAGCTTCGCCAATTACAGGGCCTAGGAAAGAAAAGTAGAAATACTGTGTTTTGGTGTAACAGGTGTTGGCATGACTTGCACAATGAGCAAAATACAAGCAAAACTTGAACAATAAATTAAACACTTTTGCATTGAAATGGAGGACTGTCAAGATGGAAAGGGCAAGATCTGAGTTGGGCTGCTTTGGACTGGATGGTTACAATCATATCCAAATTTTGTAACCAAGATATGACTGAATCTTGAGAGTGCATATGCAGCCCCTCCATGGGTGAGTGAATAAACCAGGAAGGCTATTAACTATAGTTTCCTATGTCATCTGAACCTGGAAATTATGGCTCATGGCTTTGGAACAAGCCAGACTATTAAACCAACTTCAAACCATGGCTTTATATGCTGGCTTGTTCTATGGCTTGTTCTGAATCTGTTAACCACAGCTCCCCAGTTTGGATGAAACTGGAAATTACAGCCAACAGAACACTTCCTAAGTTGTTCCCTTACAACCAAGGATGAATAAGGGATTGCATATACAGCAAAATGGCTTGTTCTTAGCACTACTTACACACCTGAGACATGAGCATCAGGATGTGGCCTGTATGAGTTTTTAGGTAGTTCTGCCCCAGTGAGCACCAACTAGCTAATCCAATTGGGCCATGCAATCTTAACAAATCTGGTGACTGGATTCAGACAGCCTGATAATCGATGGTTCAACAACAACCGATTCATTAGCAATAACTTACACTTAAGCCATGTTCAGCCCTTGAGCATCAGACATTGCATTTTTAAAGTATTTACGCTACAACTATTATAGTGTGGATGCTCCACTGTAAACACTCAATTGTAAAATGCAACATTTAAGGAACATGCTTTAACCAGGCATGTCCAATTTCACAGTCTAAAGTTTCCATTAAGTACACAGTACTCATGTTAAGCATACATAGAAAATGCACGGAATCGAGCGAGCTGCCTTCAAGCTTATTTTTTAAGCATGAATATCTGATGCTACTAGTTCTGCGCAGGGTTTATTCAGAGGTAAGTTCCAGTGTGCTTAAGGGGGTTTACTCCTAGCTGAATGTGCAAAGGATTGTGGCCTGAGGAAATAAAAAAATCTGTAATTATAATTACACAGTTGAAAAAGTAGTGATATCGATGTTTGAGCATGTACATTTAAGATGCTTTAACAAAATACTGTATGCATAATCAAGGACATCTCTTTGCTAAGCTTCATTTCTTCCTTTTCCATAGGGGCTCGGGTGGGGTGTAGCCTGATATTCTGGAAAATTTTCCAGTGTTTCCTGATTTGAAAGAAACATACGCATATATTTAAGAGTATACAAACCTACGCTAACCTTGTTCAATCCACTTTACCTGCTTGAGAGGTGATTACATCCAACTGCAGTAATTCTGGAGAGTAGCAGGTCCAATGGTCATGAGTTAATGACACCCACTCCATGAGCTCAGCAATATGTTGTCGGTACAAGTCAACAGCACCTCCTAAGCGCTGTGCCTCAGCCAATGCATTAATTGTCTCTTCTAACTGTTGGGTGGAGAGGAGGAAAAAAGAGAGATTTTTACACACAGTTGGAGGGGAAAAAATGCTTCTTACATAATGGGCTGTTTACATGTTCACACCTTCCAGACACGAATTGTTCTTGTTTTCACTAGCTGCCCAAAACAGGACCCATCAATGGCTGCACTTGTCAAATCACGCCACGCATCAAGTGTCCCTTTAAGTGACCAGCCCCACCCACGCCTAGCAATCTAGGCCTGCATGTCAGCACAGGTCAAGTTGCTCTGAGCGCTCTTCTTGGCCTGAGATGCTCACGTCCAGCGGCCTCCTGCATCGCTCTGCAGCACCCCCGTCGCCCCAGCCTTGATCACCCTCCAGCCGCCTGCCCACAGTGCTCCTGCCACTTAACTGCCTTCAGCCACAGCTGCTCTAGGAAGCCCTCTCCCTCCACAGCTTGGGCAGCTCTTCCTAGCACAACCGCCTTGCACTGGGACAGGGGGCAAATGGAGCCACCCTTACCCTGCCCTGGAAGGACTGATGAAGGACTGGATTCACACTGCTAATGGGACCACCTTTTTTCGCAAAAAGGATGAGCAAGCAAGGGCTGAAAGTAGGATCTGTCTTCTGTGAAAGGGACTTCATGCTCGAAGAAGGGCCCTGGCTGTGGGAGGTCCCCCTGACTAATTCTGGGGGACTCCCCACTCCTGTGACATACCATGGAACACCATTCAGCAGAATGCAGCATTTTTTAGGGGGCGAGAAGGGCTCCTGTGGCAAGGACAGGACAAGGAAGTGCATTTCTGTGAGCACAGCTGATTCTGCATATATCTGAATCCAACCCTAGAAACTTCCATTTATTTTAACTCGGCTTACAAGGAGATCTGTATGCAATAAAGCAAAATCCAGAAAAGGATTTAAGCCATCGGAAAACACCAACACACTAACCAACAATTCCAGGAAAAAACTATTACTACCCAAAGAACAAAGTGAAGGCACAGCGAAAGAAAAACAGACAACCTATTTGGGGGGGGGGGGGGGGGGGTGAGATTCTCAAGATTTTAACAGATGCATTGGTCACCTAGATAAAGCCTTTGTGCTCTTAGAGGATGTCTATTTGAGACTCATTGGCACTGAAGAGCTATTTAAGGCTTGTCTAATCAAACTGCTTTTCCTCATAATCATGTTCCATCAGGAATTTATTCTTTCAAATAACCAAACATCCCCAGACTAAAAGATGCTTTGTACAAGCCTAGACATTCCGATTCCATATGTCAACATATTCTTCTAGTTTCCTGTACATAAAAAAATGCAAAACCAACCTGCATTAAATTTACAGTTTTAGAACTAGCTTTCAGAACTATGACTTCTTGGAAATTGCCTGTCAGTATGACAAGGGCCATAAATACCAGCTGAGATTATCATGCCTAGAAGCAACAGAACAGGAAGTAAAATAGCCATTAAATTAAGGACTAAGTCTGGCAACAAAGCTTGCTTAGGCCACCAAAGAGTACTATAAAAAGATGACCACCTGATTTATTTGGCATTTTACTTGGGAAAAAGTGATTTATGGTGGCGTGATACTCAGAAAAATAAAGGCAAGTCTTTATCAAAGGCATCTTTGCCTGCTGCCTCTGATTCTAAATAATAAATGAAAGATTTTAAAGCTGAGGATGGGTGTGGAGGTGAAAAGGGCAACTACTGAAAAAACACTGCTGCATCCCATACTAAGCACAGTACAAAGGCTTTAAAATCTGAGCTACTACAACTAGCATGAAAAATCCCAGTATCACCTGATCTCTGGTACTGAGAGATCTGCAACTGATCTCTTTTATGATTTTGTGAATATGCATAACCCTGAACTGCACAGCAGCTACCATATTCTCCATACAAGGTATTTTAGGGTAGCCGTTCTATTTGGAAGTTACTTTGTTTTTTGCCACAATCACTCCTGAAATAGTTTGGAGGGGGGAAAAAACTTAAGTTTTTTCTCAACAATGCTAGTAGCTCTAGCAGATTAAAACAAATCTACCCTTTGAGATCACTTCTTTATGGATTATCTTTTCCCTACAGGGAAGCTCCAAATAAAGGTTTTACAATGAAGCTCAGCTAATATTCTGAAATCCTGCTCTGAAAACAGAGCATAATTAGTGATAAGTAGGTTTTGATGCTCAGCTTTTTATCTGGGAGCTTATAGGAATGGACAAGCCGGATGGCAGAGACCTGCCTCTCACACAGAAAACACCCTGATTCAATCTCAGGCAGTGCCACTCCAAGAATTTCAGGTAGCCAGACTGGGATGGGGATCTGATGAGGACCCTGGGCAGCTCTTGTCAGATAAACAAGACCGTACTGGACACTGATCTGATTTGTTATAAAGCAGCTCTGTCTCCTGGGTGAGCACTCAGGCAAGTCACTACATGGAGCCGGCACAAAGCACTGTGAACTGACGAACGTGCTTTGGCAGGCCTGATGTGGCGGGCAGGCGGGCCTGGTCTTGCCAACCTTGCACTTGGTGCCTCTTCAGACGTTTCTGTTTACGATGCCTTGCCGCTCCACTCTGGATTGTGGAAACCTGAAGGTGAGACCCCCACACCCCAAACCAGTAAGCTCTGCCACATCCGGTTTAAACAAGCAAGCAAGCAAGCAAGCAAGCAAGCAAGCAAGCAAGCAAGCAAGCAAGCAAGCAAAATGAGGACTTCTGCTTTGTGGCAGTTCGGTCAAGGTTACCTTGACGTGCAAGTGTCCAGCGCTTGGTATGGCTGTTATTGTTACCAAAAGCTTTGTTAGTTGGAGGCTGATTTCTCTACAGTCTTCCTGGCACACGTTGATGAGAACTTGTACACAGCAAAGCAACTGCTCCACGTAAAAGGCCTACAAAACACAGACGGAAAGTGACCGTTTTAACAAAGCGCTTTTTGCCAGTCCTGCTCTGTCTTAGTCAGATCAACCTCTTCCCCTTAAGGTATGTGAAAGCTTTCGCCGTTGAAACACACTTCCATCCACCCCAATAGTTCTAATCATGCTATTATTATGAATAGCAATAATAGTCTTGGTAAAAACAAACCCCACACAAACTGTTTGTCATTTCCCTCTGCAACAAAGAGTCTCAAAGAGACTTACAAATACAGACATCTATAATTAATGTTAAATACAGCCCCTACACTCAATACAGACCATCACTAGCATGATAAAAATAGAAATAGGCATAGTAAAGACAATCTAAACGCAGTACTCAACATCTGCTTCCCAACCCTCTCAGCCTAGAATGAACACCACAAAAGACCCATTCATCGACTGTACCCTCCAAGCGTTCCTTGGTGTGGGCATACACAGAATAGTCTGAAGATGACCTCTTAGACCCTAAGGCATTGGGCTCCCAAGTCATGCAGGTCTTTATAGATTACAACCAAGCTCTCTGAATTTGACCATAAACAAATCGGCAACTAAGAAGTACCGTGGTGACCGGTCATAGAAATACTCCTAGCAGAGGGATAGGCTGCTGCCAAAACAAGAGGAAAAAAAATGTTGCGCATATCTTAAGCCTATGAACCTACATACGAGGATGTGCAAGATATGGGTATGATCTGCTTTACCTTATTTTGCATTCTCCTTACCTCTTCAGACCGCTGACTTATTTCAGGGCGGGAGAGTGTGTTGGCCAGGAACACCAAGTGAGGCTGCAGGACCTTCTTTGGAGAGCCTTGCATGACTGCTGCTAGAACCATGAGATAAGAAGGCATAGGTGCTTTTTCCAGGTCAGACACAATTAACTTCAGAGACACTGCCGGGCTGACAAAGGCTCCAATCAGCTCTGCAGCTTTCACACACTATAAAAGGGAACACACACAAAAGCCGGACAGATTGTAAGATGCCAAAGACCAATCGACCCCAACACGACCAGTAACACACACACACACACACACCAACACTGGAGGATGCCAGCTGCTTGCTTTCTTTTTTAATGCTTCAGAAATTGCCTGGTAGGCCTTTCCACCCCTTCCCTCCTTCACAATTATATGCATGACAAAGTTCCCTTGACATGCTCCGAGAAAGTGCCGAATGAGTGTTCACACGCCTTCTTTCAACACCAGCCTCTCAAGCTTCCCCAAGAAAATTGTGAAGACACAAAAGCGAGGTATGAGGCGTCCAGTGTTAACAGGATCTTTTAGCCTGCTATCAAGCAGACGTCTGCACGGGATTTAGTGGTTCAGGTTTTCAGGGATGTTTTTCTTAAGTGTTCCTTTGAGACGCCTCCTTTCTCTACCAAAAAGGAGACAAAACCAAGCGTTCCTTCCTTAATGGAGTTAATATTTTAAAAGCTCCGGATTGCGTGTGGAGAAAAAGCCTCATCTCCTTTCCTGTCAGAGAGGAAGAGAAGCGGTGAAGCATGACTGAAGGCCAATCGCATTTGCCTGCGCACTGCAGCACAAGCCTGTTCTGCAGGGGACAAGTTCTTTCATCCTTGTTGTTAATTTAGGTGAAGAGCATTTTGCATCTTATAAGAAATACTGGTGGGCCTTCTACTTGTGCTGCAAGTAACTGGATCCCCAGAAATTCTTTTTGTATTAATTGGTGGGAGCCTAAATATGCAGGCACACCACGGCTGCATTCACACATAATGGTAAGCCAAGATTCCTGGCTTATCCAGGCTTACTGGGCAAACACACACCAGACATTCACTACTCCCTTCACATGTATGTAAATAAACCAGATCAGAAATGGACAGCTTATTGCGAGAACCAAACCTGGCAACTCAATTTGTTTCTTCTAAAAAGGCTACGATTCATAAACCAACATTAAAACTTAGGCTGCTGCTGGCTTGTTATAATCCCGGCTTGTTTGGATACAACAAACCAGAACCCCAGCTTCAGATGTCATGATAGTCTGTCCATTTCTGGTTAGTTTTACCCACTTGCAGGAAGGGGGAGCAAGCAGACTATATGTATCAGCATGCTGGCTGTTCAGAGTAAGCAGGGATAAGCCAGGAATCCTGGCTTCTCATTACATGTAAACACAGCCAATAAGAACATACAAAGCTGCCATATACAGAATCAGGCCATATGCCCTTCAGAGTTTTCTAAACATTGTAAATATGATATATGGTCCAGTTTTGGTTCCATAAACATTTTTTCTTTGTAGATATGTTTTTCTTACGGTTACTTTTAACACGCTGCATTGTTAAACAAACATGGACAACTTTTGCAGACTTTGTTTTAAAAGGCATCTACTGCAAAAAACTAAATGGGCTAATTATTTCTTTCACACAGACAAAGGAAAACAGCGGGAAGGAAACATAAACTTGCCTTGTCTGAACACTGATTAGGGCTATCACATGATTACAGAGCAGAGAGAGGGAGAAAGAGATAACATGTGAAATTAACTAGAAAGGGCATGAACTGCACATAGTTTGAAAATGGAATTTATCCCCCACAAGGCATTTACACTTTAATCTCCTGCTTATGATTTTTAAGAGGCTATTAATGTTTTGCTTGGCCAGCAGCACAGGTGAAGTGGAATCTGAACAACAGCATTGATCTGTATAACAACTGAACCAAAGTACATTTAGCTGGATAGTGCCAATATACAGTTCCCATTGGCCCTGAAGCAACAAGCATGATCAAAAAGCAGAATGCCCTTCTGGATCAGGCCCGACAAATTCAAAAACCATGCAAGAAGAAAGCCACCTACAATCAGCATGCATAACGTTTACTGAGGGCAAAGGCATGGAATATAGTGATAAGAGGTAGAAAGTTTTCTGAACTTCCTAGGAAATTATTCGTATTTTTCCACAGGGAAGAAAAAAACAGTTAGAAATATATTGTACCCATAAAAGTTACAAACAAAAAGAAATGCAATCTAAGTCAAACTGGAATGCATACATAATTGGTGAAATATCCCTATTCATCCCTCCAGATCTTTAACATGATAAAACTAGGATGAAGTATTCTTAGTGCCTTTGTCTTCTTTTTTACATCTAACATAAGGGACACATATTCCCTTATGTTGTATAACTTAACTGTTGTATCTTAAAAGTATTTCCACTGGGTGAAAGGCATCATATGCCTTCAGAGTAGATCCATTGAAATGAACAGGGCATGCACATCGTGACTTAACTCCCGTTCATTTCAAAGGAGTCTAAGCTAAGCAGTACACTGTACTTTAGCATTCCAGTACATTTCCAAATAAAGCCCTGACTTTGTTTCTACATAGCATTTAAGCTGCACTGGCATGATTTGCACATAACAACACATCAGAGGATGGGTCAGTTCACACAGTCACCATGGGCTGAACAATCCAACAACAGCCTATGTCCAATAAACAAGTTTACTCAGATTTCCACCAATTTAAGGTGGCAGAAAACATTTGGAAAAACCTGCATAACAGCTTGGGACCAGGATACCTAACGGAACGCCTTTTTCCCTATTTGCCCTCCCACCCCCCGAGATCGGCAACAGAAGCCCTCCTCCGGAAACCCTCTGTGAAAGATGCTAGGAGACAGAGTACCTGGAGGAGGGCCTTCTCTGCAGTGGCGCCCCGACTATGGAATGTGCTCCCCAGAGAGGTCCGCCTGGTGCTGTCATTATATGTTTTTTGGCGCCAGGTCAAGCCCTTTTTATTTAATCAATATTTTAATATGTTTTAATATTGAATTTTATTGTTGCATTTTATTATTTGCAGCCAGTGTGGATGGTCAATTTATTTATGTTGTAAGCCATCCAGAGACACAAGTAATTGGACGGCCTACAAATGTTATAAATAAATAAACAAATAAATGCCATTAACGCAAGGGACACGGCATACTTACATTCCTAACCACAGTACCTTCCCCATCTGAGCACACACGGTACAACGTCCTCAGCAGGAGCTCCATGTGCTGTGTAATATGGTCTTCTGCATGCTGCAGTAATATAATCAGAAGCTGGGATGCCTTTATTCTGGTGCCTTCAACCCAGTCAGTTATATCGTGGCAGAGTCCTGGAAGTATTTTGAAGATGTTTCTAGTCACCAGCTCTCGGCAGCCCAGTTCTGGGCGAGTCACTGGGTTGGGAACATTTTGAAAAAGAAGAAAAAGAACCAATATGCAGTGTGGAGGAAAAGCTTATGGAAAAGTTTGACTTCATTTTTGATCTCTGGATTTTAAAGCAGGCATGCCTATGGTAACACCAGAGAACGTAACACGGTACCCGCAGCACCCCGCACCGATTATTTGTGGATGTGCCAAAAGGACCAAAACCATTTCGTGACAAAAGAGGTTTTACACAAGTGAAGCTGCTGCCAAAGTTTCTACTGGCAAGAAAGCCATGTCTGTGCAGCCGAAACAGTATAAAAATGGTTCGTAGGAACCAGGTAACATACAAGGGTCTTAACCACAAGAGCCCTGTTTATAACTGCCACATTAAGACATCGTAAGAACAACTTAGAACAGGATATATGTGCACTTCCGCATTCATATGCCACTTTCTGTAGATAAAAACAGACAAGCACAAACCTTTATCAGCACCTCTAACTGAGCCACACATTTCTCGTAATAGAATTATTTCTGAAGCCATCTAAATGCCCTTGATTGTGGTCCTGCCTCTTTCACTGCAAAACCTAAAATGGTCTAGGCCATTTTATTCCTCAACAAAGACTGCGATCTTTCAACATTGCTGCTTTATAACCATGTACTACTGGTATGTTTATAAGAAGTATGTATCACTGAAACAACGCAAAACCGATCTGCCAAAATTTAGCCTGCAGCTTAACTTTCCAAATCTTCGGTTCCAAGGCTGAACACTTTTGGTGCATGGACATAGATGGTGGCAGCTCAGCATGAACTGTGAGTAATAAATGAAATGTTTACTGTCCTGCAGCTAAAAACATACAGCTTGTACTGCACCCAACACACTCCTAAGAATCAGCCACTGGGACAGTGCACTGCTTAACACGCTGCTCAGCCACTGCAATATGGGCGGAAGCTTTTTTGACAGCATGGCTAACCTGGCTCTGAGTGAGTACAGCGGGGTCTGCATGCCAGCAGGAGGTAGGACCACTGTACAACCAGCAGAGACCCCACCTATGCATTCACATAGACGGGACTTTGCCTGCCCTTGGCTGTCCTGCCCTTGGATAATGAAGGGTGGGCAAAGCCAGCTGAAGACTTAGCTTGCTCCTGGAGGCACCAGCTGGCAATGCCCATTGCCCAAAGCAATTCTGGATTTTATCTCTTGAGAACTCTTAACAGAAAGAGCTTCATTTCCTGTTATATCAGGTATTTCCCTTTTTTTGTTTTTGTTTTATTCTTGATGCTTGCTTTTATTTTTACATGTTGCTCTTTACATGTTTACTGTATGTTAAAATAGACTCCATTTGTTATTAGTATTTATTGTGCAATCCTTTGGACATTTCTTTTAGAACAGATACAAATGTAGGATACAAATTATTTACATTAAAATTAACAAAACACTGGTAAAACACTCTTGACTGAAAAAGCCAACTTTCACAAAGAAAGCCCTGAAGCATCTTCCATGTGACTCTGCTTGTGTGGCTACAATTTTAAAGCTGAAGCAAAAGTTAAACCGAGTATAGAACACAGAAGTGTTTGTGAAGCACCTACTTAAAGGGAAGGATCTTCAAAGACACTCTGAAGCAGAGTTTCTTTTTGTCAAGGAAGAAAGCATTTGGATTATGGAAATTGACAGCAAACAACAAAGAGGTCAAATACAGAAATCTTCCCTGAGAAGACAAAGATAGAGAGTGGCATCCTATTTGACCAGAGGCAGTTTTCAAAAAGATTTTGAGTGGTCCTTTTCAACAGTTCCTTTTATTTCTAATGCACAAATACAGCTATTTCATCCGTGTATTTCACTGCTGTCAAAGGCTTCTCTCCCCCCACCTTTCCCTAACCTGTCTGCACCCTTATCCTAAGGCAATCATTTTCTCCCTACTGTTCTATAAAAAAGTCACCTCATTGTTAGGATGGCATTGAGTTCTTTTAAAAAATAAATTCTCTCCCTGACCTGCAATCTCTGTCAATGTGAGATCAAAGCTCAAGGAGGCAGAGGTGTCAGGTTCATTAGCTTGTAGCTAGAAAGGATGGGTTTAAAGAGAACTCCAGAAGGAGGGAGTGGGGAGGGAACTGATGGCTGTGCATTTTAGAGGCAAAGTAGTTCATCCTTCGCAAACCATCTGTGTTGCCTTTGAACAGGAAAGGGAAAAAGAGAAGCAGATAAAAAAACATGGCTTATCCAAGCATTGGAAATTAAAATTGGGACCTAAAACTAAAGTTAAAGTTAATCCTATGTAAAAGTTAATCCTACTGATATCAATGGGACAATTAAGCTGCAACTATTGAACATTGCTGCCAACCAACTAGCTTCCTCTGCATTGAGCCCAAAACTAGTTTGTCTTGTGGCCTTGAGACAAATGGAAATGTTAGTAATGCTATGTATTCTTAATATAGATAACACAAAACCCCCCGTTTCCCTCCCTAAACTCCCTGATTTCAGTAAACACCACACCAAAGCATGGCTTATATACTCAGTGCACACCAGAGGAGCATTCTCTCATACTCTGGCCTTCTCTTGTGGCATGTATGCCAAAAATGTTGGCCGCTACTAAGTTGCAAACAACTGGATAAGAACTTATCCCACACAGTTTTGGAGTTAATGGAGATAACAAGAACAGTGCCAGAAAACAATTGTAAACTTCTTCAGAAATACAGTGCAAGCTTACTAGGTCAAGTGCCTAAAAGGTTCCTTAGTTTGCTATTAATCTTTTTACAGAAGATGCAATTACAAGATATTTGAAGGCAAGATGCGTGAAAAGCCAGTTTGGCTAGGCAGTTGGGATGCTGCCCAGCCTTGTGATCTATACTTGCTTTGTAAAAAAAACCTCATCTCACACAGCTCCCAGAATGCCTGGCATTGCTCCCCAGCTATTTCTTCTGCATAAACGCTTATCGCCCCTTTGATTGTTAAGTTGCAAGGTTTAGATCAGCCTAACCAAAGCTACCAGGACTACTTTAGAATAGAGATGGTCTTGAGGATAGCATCACATGCCAAGTAACTACAAATTGACCAAATAACTCAGTCAAATATGCAGTTTAGCCATAAGACTAGTTGGAGGTGTTGGGAGGTGTAAATAATAAATAGCAGAAGCGTGGCATAAAATCCATTAATGAAATTGGTTGGTTTTCAAATGGTTTCCATAAACCAACACAACAAAAAGAGCACTTACAAAATAATTATTTGGAATGTTAAAAGAAACTATTACTTTCTGAATGTTTTGGAGTTTATCGGTTTATATTTTTGCTCTGGCTTTCTCTTTCAGACCTGGTGCACCACTCACGCTACATCACAGGGCGACATGTTCGGGGCATGGCATACTGAGACAAGTCATTTTTGATTCCAGAACATTTTCCAACATACTCACATCCTTGAGGATAGTAAGAAGGCATAGCATAGAAGTCGAGTTTATCTTTAATATCGTCTTCATTCTCTTTTTCCCACTGCAGGCCTACTTTCTTCCAGTAAGTTAAAGCCAGTTCCCTAAGCATAAAACAAACACATCAGAAACCCTTTCCATTAGAATCAAAGGAGGCAAAGAAGTGTTGGAAGGTCACTTAAACAAACAGGAATCCCGAGAGGGCTGGGCTCTGGCACAACCACAGATCATGTGCTTTGCACGCAGAAGGTGCCTGGGTCAGTCTCTGCCACCTCCACATATGACTGGAATAATTCCTGCCTGAGAACATGGACGGCCACCGCCAGTTAACGCCAGCAATGCTAGGTTAGATGGAAAGATAATCTGACTTAGTACATGGCAGTTTCCGATTTTCCTTTTTGAATTTATCTGGAAGAGGTAATATACTCGCATGATCATCACCACCAAACTTTGGGCCAATCTAACCATAACAGCATTTCCTAAAATCATCAGGATGACACGCACATGCGACACTCAAGAGAGTCTGCAGGTCTGAATGAACCACAACCAATCTGCCCTCCACAGACACAATTTCCAGCATGCCTGATGTCCCCTGGCAGTCGCCTTATGGAATGCCTTCCTACCTTGCATTGGGAAGTGTCAACTGTGGCTTCTTTTCAGCACCAGTTGAACACTCATCTCTTCACCCAGGCCTTCCCTGACAGCGTTACCCAATTTGGTTATTATTTATGCATGAGCATTTATGTTTGATGCTTTTTAAAAAGTTGTACATATAGGCTTTTATATTTGTTATGATGTTTTAATGAATTGTAATATTTGCTTTGAAAGCGCCTTAGAGATATTTTAGATACAGCAAGTGGCATATAAATCTATTAAACAAACGAACAAATGGAACCCAGTGGAAGAGTAAGTTCATGCATTCAAGTGAGAATCAGCAAATGACAGAGATTATGTAGCAGTTGCTTGTGTAAACTTGCCCAAAGTACAAAGAAGTCCCCATAAAGTGAAGCAAGGACACTTGTCAGGACTGGATCAAGCTCCTCCCTGATCTTTCCAGGTCTTTGCCTCACTTGGGTACAGGGAACTGTGTCTTTTGACTGGAAAAGGAATGTAGTATTTACCCCAAAATTTTACCAGCAGAGCATGCTGTAGGCCCCAACCCCAGAATGAAGTACCAGATCCAGCACAGGGTAGAGCACTTCATGTAAAGTTTAGGAGTGTACAATTTATCTTTTTATTTTGATCTCTTTATCAACAATACTTATACCCTTGTACAGATGTCAGTGTCATGCGTTCACTGAATATGTAGGCCCATGCCAGCTCATCCTGCTCCCAGCATGCAACTGGACAGCACTGCCCTCTGACATCCACGCTCTGATGCCAATCCCAGCAGAAAGGAAACCTCCTTATGTACTGCAATGCATAGGTGTTCTGGGTGTGCAGAAACCTGTGTGCACACAGCTGTATGTGCACAGGCTTCCCCTTTCTTTATGTTCACATCAGTGCACACACAGTTCAAGTCCAGGGGAGCCTGTGGTCTTGGGTGGCATTGACCTGTATAGGTCCACCCTTCTCCCAGATGCCTGAGACCTGCCATCTGCATAGAACTATGATTGTGTACATATGCCGTAAACTATGGATTCTGTTTTTTACTTACTTGTTCTCATGCATTTCATCAGTAAGGCCACTGAGTAGCAGGGGGATTAACTTGTGAAAATAAGAATATCGATCCCTCAGGTGCAACAGCCACTCCCCAGCAACACTGATGACAGCTTCCCTAACCTAGAAAAAAGCCAGAAACAGAAAGAAACATCTCCTGGTTTCATGCAATGCAGAGACATGCTAATGTGCAACCAAACCATGAGGAGGGGTGATCATGCAGCCTGAAGCTCATTCTAAAAACGGGAGCAAAAGGTTGCATATGCATGAAAAATGGATGCTGGATGTACAAAGGTAGAATTCCTAAAAATTAATTGTTCTGAGTTCAAGCATACTAGTGAATTTTCCGCTGGTCAGTGGATGAGACTGTGCCATCAATTCAATAAGTACTGCAACTGTTAGAGTAAGATTGAAATCTCGGGGAGTTTTGGTCAAATGTTTCGGTTGGCCCACATCTTCATTTAACACTCTCTTACAGGACTATGCCTGTCTTCATCACCATATTAAGGCAACATACCTGCACCAAAGCTTAGTTAATTCCATCAACTCCTTATACTTGGAAGTCCGTTCCACTTAAGTCAAAACGAATTTCTTTCAAATAAAGGCCAGATCCAAAGGGTCCTTTGCTTTTGATTTATTGCATTAATCAAACCAGTTCTTTGCCGGTCAGCAAAACTAGTCGGCCGGCAGCCGGTCAGCAAAACATATAATAGAGAACCTAGCACATTGGCAAGAATACTGTATCACCGGTATCATGCATAAAACTAACTTGCTAACTATATTCATCCACTGGATCTACTTGTTGCTACAGTTCTGTAAATAAGTCTTGGCTGTAGTTGCCACCACAAAGAAAGAGTACTTTTAAGGGTCACATGCTTGTTATTAGTAAGTAAATGGATCAGTTTAGGCCAACTAACCATTTTGGCTGGACATGTGTGCAAGGTTGCTTCTTTCAGGGTTCTAAACCATACATTGTAAAGCAATATAGATTACGTCTCCCACTTCTCCCAAACCACAAAGGTACAACCACTTGTTCAACAGAGCACTGCAATAGTTGCCAGATTTATATGTTTTCCATGACAGAACTGAAGGCAGCATGCAGAGTCCCTGGAAATCCCTTGGTGAGGCAAAGCCCTGCTTCGTTTCTGCAAGGTCACTGCATCGTGACTTCAGGCCACATCCAGGTCCCAGATGTTCTGCAGTACTCACATATATGGAAGGCTCCCTGCCCCACTTCATAACCATTCCCATAGCCCCCTCATGTTCATCAGCTACTGGTCTGGAAGAGCTCCTAGTCTTTAGAACTGGCTTTCCAGGGGCCAGGAAGCTGCTGTGAGAATGAGCTATGAAGAAGTCAATTGAGCATGGAAAAGCCCATAAGCCAGTGTGGAGAGCCAGGGTGGTGCAGTGGCTAAGAGCACGGGACTGGGACTCAGGCGATCCGGGTTCTGGTCCCCGCTCAGCCATGGAGCCAACTGGGTGACTCTGGGCCAGTCACGGACTCTCAGCCCAGCCTACCTCACAGGGTTGTTGTTGTGGGGATAAGATGGAGGGCGAGACTGATGTAAGCTGCCTTGAGCCCTTTGCAGGAAAAAGGCAGGATATAAATTGAGAAATAAATAAATAAGCAGATCTTTGGATCTCTAAGGGCACTGGGGTACGAATCAGTTGATGTGGCTGGTGGAGTACCCTGCCAGGGAGCACTTGTGCACAATACCCTGCAGCATGTGTTCCTGAAGGGACATAACCGGCTCATGCCTTTGCTTTCACCCTTAAAAGACATCCTCTGGCCATTGGACACCACATAAAACTGGCTATATTTCCGTTTAAAGACCTTACTTCAAATAGGAAGTGAGAGCCTTAGAAAACTGAGCCATAAACCCGGCTGTTCAATAATGCAATGCTAGTATGAAACGGGGTCTCTTGGAGAGGTCTGTAAAGAAATAGCTGCCTGAACTGAAACCTACCTGGGGGATGTCATCAAAACACCGCTGGGCTAGGTGAGAAAACACATCATCGAAAGACTTCGCATTGCCATACTGTATCACTGCTCCTGTGGCCTGAATGACCGCGACACGGACTCTGTAGTGCTGGTGGGAAATCGCTTGCATTAAGGGCTTGATCAAGCTCTCCGACTGCATGTGAAAATGTTCTGGTAGGGGAAAAACAAATGAAAGATCAGGCCCACACTTTATAAACTGCCAGGGCTGGTTGTGCAGACTGTTGTGTAAAGGTGCACAGAACACCCAGGGATGATCTGGAGGACACTAGCCACGTGTGAACTGCAACAATTCTGTCATATTGCTGCGAGATTCGAGGACAAGCATACCAAAGCCTCTGCCTTTAATGCAGGCTGCAAACTTGTGCACATGCACCTGAGAGTGAGCCCAGCAAACCCAGAAGATTTTGAGCAGACGGGGGGGGGGGGGGTTGCGTTATTACTGGCTCCTCAGGTCTCCTGAAGATAGCACAGCAACATCTCCTCCTCGCCACAAAAAGGAAGGAGGCTGGCGCATCCACAGGCCTGCTGGGCTCACGCAGTTGCCCTTACTGGCACAGCCACCACCTGTATTTCCATCCTGGGACACTGCATTCGGGGGGGAAAACTAAAAAGGTGGCCACAAGCCCATTACTCCAATCAGGGCCACTGCCAGGCAGCTGGGGTACCACTGAGCAACCTGCTGGCAGCAGCACTGAGACTGGGTGCTCAGACTCATGGGTGCGGCAATCCTTTCATCGTGGGCCTTTCATCCTGGGAAAATCAAAATGGCTCTGGCATCGCAGCAGGCAGTCTCGTCCATGGCCTTGGGCGCTCCCCTCACAGCCCTCCTGGGGTGGTCTCCCCTGCTGCTGGACCACCCCTGCTGCTATTTTATACTAGGCCTGGGGCATGTGGGGGTGGGCCTGCTCTGCTGCTGAGGAGAGGGGCGCTCCATTACTTGGAGGGCCACCAAGGGCACTTTTCCAAAGATCCTCTGAAACCTGGCACTGTCCCTGCTATTAAAAAAGAAGGCACATGTCTCCCTTTCCACATGCATCTTTTTCAAAGCCTTTATTATATCCCATCTCCCAGTTGTTGTTTCCTTCCCTTCCCCAAGTCAAAACTTTAGCCTTCCTTGTAAGGATGCTCCAACCACCCCAGCCCCCATCTCCGTTGCTTTTAAGTTGCAAACTGTAGACAGCAAATTGGGATAGACACGTTAACAAATGATCATTTCAGTTGCTCTCTACTGTACTTGCTGCTACGATGGCCTGAAAAGAACTATTGCGATGGGACCTAGAAAGGACAACAGGAACATGCGCAGGCTGTGGGGGAAGATGAACTTATTGCAAAGCTTAGACAGCTAAAAAGGAAATCCTGCTACATTTCCCATTAATGTTTGAGTCTTGAATGTATTTTCTTCTAATCCTATTGATCTCATTTATGCTTCATACTCATCCTCCCACTCATCTTCCAATGTGCTGCGTTCTACACAGGGCAAAGAGCCTGATCTCTAAGAAAAAGCAGAAATGGCCACAAATCTGAAATTACAATATTCGAAACACAGCAGGGGCACATTTCAACCTCCTGGACACCCTGTCCTTGCCCTTGAAGTTGCTCTTCTTGAACAAAGCTTCAAACACACATTTCAGCAGAAAGCTGCTAAACTGCCATTCAATCAAGCCATTCAGATCTATCCCCTGTGCTTTGAAGATGGCTATTTCATCACACGATCAGCTCATCAACCCACAGATATCTGTGCAATCCTCTGACAACTGCCTTGTGAATGGCCATTCTTAAGGTAATGATCACTGCCTGTACTTTTTGCATTTCGGTCCCTTTTGACCTCACATATAAATGTGCCAACTGAGCATAATACTCCATGCATCAGATGAAGTGGCAAGATAAATTGCTAAGTCTTTTAAGGTACTATGAGACTGTTGCTTTTCGCTGTGACATGCAAACTATTTCCCTGGAAACTTTCCAGTAAGCAGTGCTGCAGACTTATTTCAATTTCCAGTTGGTGATTCAGGCTTATTTAATTAGCAGTTATAATGCACGCATAAAGCAAATTGACTTTCCTTCCACTAACCATAGGGATCCAGTAGTGGGGGTGGGTTAGTTACTTCCCTTTGGGGCACCGGCCTCCCTCTCATGCTGTTTATCTTTTCTGCAGAAAGGTACAAAAGCAGCTGCAGATACGGGCTTCTTCCCCATTTGGGTCCTCTGGTAAGGCTTAGTTGCCCTTGCAGAAGAGCTGCAAGGCTTGAAACAAGCTGGTCCTAATAAAGTCCTTCCAGAGCACCTCTTCCCATCCCTATATTTCTATGCTATGAAAAGCTTGACTTGATGGCTCCCCTACCCTTTCATTTTATTAGATTTATATCCCACCTTTTATTTTTTCTTAGGAACTCAAAGCAGTTCAGATCATTCTCCCCCTCCTGCTCTCACTCTTATCCCCACAACTTTCTCAACACCACTGTTACCAGCTGGGCTTGCTCTTGATCCTCCTTCTCATCCATGCTACCATAGCCAGAAAGTCAGGAAGCAAGCAGAGCGGCATCTGCTGCTCCTCCTTTTCACTGCCACTGTCGTCTGGCCAGATTGCAAAGCGAGTGCACAAGCAGGCAGCAATGCGGAAGAGGAGGAGCAAGTCTGGGAAGCTCTTGTCCGTGCCCCCATTGAGGTGTGGGCCCCAGCAGGGCCAAACCATGCCTACTTTTGATGCCAGCCCTGAGAACAACAAAATTGCTCACCTCTCATGATTATACGCACCAGTTTAACACTGCAGCCACTGATGAAAATGGAAGACTTAATTATTTTACTCTAACTATACCTGGAATTTATTCTGTTGTCAGTCTGTCTTTCTTATATACTTTGTATCCAGAGCCTCCTTGTTTTTTCCTGTTGTGCTACTTAATGCTTACCTCTTTTACAAAAGTCAAGGAAACTAAAAACAGAGTAATTCAAAACATTCTTACTGCTTCCATCCTCACCAGTGGTTCTGATGTTCCATAGTGGAATCTCCCTAGCACCTTTTGTTTCTTTCTCTATCTTTCTCTCTGTATGCATGTATGCATGTATCTCCTTGGAGTGAGAGCAGTTGTGTACTTTAAATTCACTTGTTACACCACTAACCCTGCCTACACGCATAAAATGGGAGTTTGTTTCCACTGCCTTGAAAACATCAACACTAGCCACTCACTGGGTTCAGAAAAGATGATAATCCACACTCAAGGGCCGAGCAGGACTTCTCACCCAAACATGTGTTACCTGTAACTTGCCCAGGGAGCTTTGTAGCTAGTGGGGTAGGATAAAATCTAATTAATTAATTAATGTGGTGTTCTTGAAACAGGAACTCTCATGTTGTCTGAGCTGTGCCGCACCAACAAGCCATGGTCTGTTAATCATGGACAAACCGTGGGTTCTGAACTGAGAGTTGTTCGCCATGTTTTGTTCACTCGGCTGGGGCCGCCCGCATGCCTCAACCAGGATCCACGGTTCCGCCAAAGTCCACCCGCCCTCCTGAGCGGCAGTCACTGCGTGACCCGCCCCCGCCCCCGCGGTCGTCGGGGACCCTGGGGGGCTCGGCCCCGGCAAGGGCATCGCGCTCCTCGCCTGCCCTCCCGCCGCGAGCCCCCCCGGGCGCACCTGGCATGGCCTTGGCGCAGGCGGCGGCGGCCGCGCAGCCCTCGCGCTTGGCCCGCGGGTAGGGGTCGAGCAGGGCGCTGCGCAGCACGCACACCACCTCGGGCAGGTACGGCGCCAGGGCGTCGGCGTCGCACACCTCCAGCAGCAGGCCCAGCAGCTGCAGCAGGCCGAGGCGCAGCTCCTCGCACGCCTCGCCGTCGGCCCGCGGCCAGCAGAGGCGCCGCGCCAGCGCCGGCATCAGGAAGGGCAGCGCCTTGGCGGGCCGCGTCCCGCGGCTCAGGCCGTGGCGGGTCAGCTCCAGCGCCAGCTCGCGGCAGCGCTCGGCCGGGTCGTCCGCCAGGCAGCGCGTCAGCGGGCGCAGCAGCACCTTGCCGAAGACCTCCTGCAGCACCGGCGGCGGGAGGCGCTGCGCCAGCACCGTCTCCCGCAGGCCGGCCAGGGCCTGCAGCCGCGCCGGCCGCGCCGCATCCTGCAGGCCGCTCAGGTGCCGCGCCAGCGCCTGGCTGAGCTCGGCCACGCGCGGGTGGTGGTCGCCGAAGGCCCCTTCCTCGTCGGCCATGCCGCGGCCCCGTTGCCAAGGCGGACGCGCGCGAGGCCCGTTGCTAAGGACTCGCCGCGGCTCGCGCGGCCGCCGCCGCGGCTGGTTTGCGACGGCGTGCGGGGCGCTTTACGGCACGGCCGGAAATCGAGGAAGCGGCTTCAGGGGGCGCTGCTTCTGTGTTCCGTTTAGCCCGTGTCTCCTGCTCCCGTTACCCGATAGTAATCTCTGCTGAACACCGCAGGCTCCTCCAGCTTAGTGCCTTCCAGATATTTCCTCACCACAAGCTCCAGCATGGCTGGGGCTGATGGGAGTTGAACTCCATCGCATCTAGCGGGCACTAGGCAAGGCCACTCTGTCTAAAATTAATTCTGGGCTACCTTTGAGGGTGGAAACCCATCAAGGCAGGTGTGCTGAGTGGGAATTACACTCAAGGAAGTGAGATCGCAGTCCAGCCTTATGCATATTCATTCAGAAGCATCCTCATGGTGTTCCATAGAGGGGGCTTATCACTAGGCAGCTGCATTTACCATGGCAGTGTGGCACACAACCGGTGGCTGCCTGGTAGTGCTAAATTACAGTTCCCATCATTCATAGAATCATAGAATAGTAGAGCTGGAAAGGGCCGCCAAGGCCATCAGGTCCAGCCCCCTGCTGTTGGAGGAAATTCCTTGCCATTGGCCATGCTGGCTGGAGCTGACTGGAGTAATGATCCATCCACTGCTGGAGGATCACGGATTCCTCACCCCTACCTTAAAGAATTAGCTGTTCCGGTCTGCTCGCAGCAGCAGCAGTGTGTATGTTCCTGAGGCCAATTCAACTGTGCTGCTTTAACCTACGAAGTCTTGGGACCGCAATACCTGCCACAGTGCCCTCCCCAGGAACTGGTTTTGAGAGGCACACCACCTGTGCTACTGTGGGTAATATACAGCCGAATGGCCTTTGATAGCCTTCTCTTCCATGAATTTGTCTAAATCCTTCGTAAAGGCAGCCAAGCGGGAGTCTGTCGACAGCAGGAGTCAATAGTTCTTAGGGGCTCTGCAGCAGGAATGAAATAATGGCAGACAATGTTGCTCTTAGCAGTGCACAATCATGGACTGCATGGAACACAGGAAGCTGCCTTATGCTAGGTCAAAGTGTTTGTGCATCTAGCTAGTCCACTAGCGGCTGCGTTGACAGGCAGCATGCCATGCCCTGGGAGTCCCTCGTTCTTGGAGACTCCTCTTCATGCATCCCCAGAAAAAAAGAGTCTGTAAAACGATTGGTTCAGGGACAGGGTTTCTTTACAGAAAGCTGTCACGAGGCTTCTACTTTCCTGGGATCCCGTTTGTCGGAAAGCCCCAGAGACTTGCTGGCTTCCATCTGGATGAGGTTGCATGGCCGTCTCTGAACTTGAGGACCCCAGCTGTGAAGGAACTTGCACTAAAGAAAGTCTGAGGCACTAAAATAGGCCAGGACAAAAGGCAAAAGTCTTGGGGCAGAGGCAGTAGCAAAAAAATAAAGCGTAGTAAAAGTTCTGTCCTGAGCTGCACCTTGCTGGAACAATGGTGAGCCTTCCAGTTCTAGCACTCCTCAGAGCTTTCCAAGGTGCTGAATTCCGGCCTCTCCATTAAACTCTTGCTGCCTCCAACCCTGGAAGCCACCTAAACCTGCAACTCTGACTTCACCAGTGCACACCAGTGAAAGTCCTCCTCATAACAGAGCTTGAACAGAACATGACCTTCTCGGGATCTCAGAGGCCTGTCATGTAACTTACTACCTGATCTGTTTTAACTTGGGCCAGGAATTGAAATAGGCACCTTTTCCATGCAGACATGCTGGAGCAGTGTGCTCTGCTCAGTCCTGGCCCTTGTCGTATTGTATAGCTGCACTGTAGAGCATGCAAGTTCATGAAGGGCAAAGAGCTGACCCGAGAGTCTTGCCCCAAAACTCATGGAAGTGACCACATTCCACTGCAGTCCCTAAGAATCTTCCTGGGAATCATCCTACGTCGTCATGCAATGTTCCCAGGGGTGTTCCAGCAGGGCAGGTGGACTGCTGAGTATGCTCAAGCATTGTTTAGAATGGAGCTATAACCTCTTTTTTAGCGACCCCACAAGCCCCTTCCCCTTCTGAGCTATCCTGGAAAAGGCCAGCCCCTTTACTTGGAAGGCTGGTGACTTTCATCCACTTCCCAAAGATGAATACAATATTTAGGGAGGGGTTTTGTCCTAAGTGAGCTGAAAGCACTATGGCAACCAGAATATTTGAAAAATATTCACCAAAAATATATTCACCATGCAAGCATGCCTGGGCTTTTAAGTTCCTTGGGACAATGCTTTTGTCCCATCTGCTCTGGAAGCCAGTTTAGTGGGGGGGGGGGTGAGTGAGGGAGGGTTGTGATGCCCATGTTTTCCAGCAGTAAGCAAAGACTTCAATTCAGACTTTATTTGCCTTCATAAATGGACATGTGGAGTAATGGTTAAGAGCATGGGACTGGGACTCAGACGATCTGGGTTCTAGTCCCCACTCAGCCATGGAGTCAGCTGGGTGACTTTGGGCCAGTCACAGTCTTTCAGCCCAACCTACCTCACAGGGTTGTTGTTGTGGGGATAAGATGGAGGAGGAGATGCAAGCTGCCTTGAGCCCTTTGTAGGAAAAAGGCAGGATATAAATCAATCAAACAAACAAACAAACATGTTATGCCTATTGTAAATTGCTGTGACTGATTAACAGCTTTTAATGTGTTGTGATGGGGGTGGCATAGACATGTTTTAAATAAATAAATAAATAAATAAATAAATTGTATTGATTTTTAAAATGTTTTTCTGCCCTGCTTTTATGTTCAGTTTGTATTTGACTTGCCATTTGATTGCAGTCTGCTATCTTGAGAATCATCTGGGGAAAGGCAGGAGACAAATGTACACACAGAAAAATCAAATTAAGTATTTTGTTTGGCAATTTGGTGCTTGATGCTGAACCTATGTTGAAACGTTCTATTTATTACGGATTATACTCACGTATTATATCTGCAATAGAGTCTCAAGACAGTACTTCCCATCATGAACTTTCCAGAGGCCCTTTTGGGGTTCTTTTGATGGGAGAGGTGAATATTGAAGAACTGTTTGGGGTTGTGATTCTCAGGATTTGGAAGGCCTCCAGCAGAAAATGTCTGTCTGCTTTGAAATTAGAGTGGCCATGTGTGTTACTGTGCAGAGGACAATCCTCTCTTTAAAGGGCTGCCCAGTTTAAGCTTGATTTAAAGACAACCCTAAGAAGGGAGAGTACAGTCCTCCTGAATATGGAGCGGGTATGTGTCACCTGGTCAGTATTCCTCACCCAGATGAGATGCATTTCTACTTAAATCATAATGATTATTTCTAATTCTTCTTGCACACTTATATAAGGGTATCAGTGGCTGCTAGGCAATGACACTCACTGGTTTAGTGCAATGATTTTCTCAGGCAGCATTTCGCTGCAGCTGGTGTCGTTTTGATTTCGCGCGAGCACATCTGTTTACGCTCGCGAAAGGTGCGTGCCTCGCCTAGAAACACACACTGTGCATCGCACGGGAAGACACCCGATTCCGAAGCGCATAAGCCTCGCAGGTGCGGGCTGGTCCTCTCGCACAGCTGCGCGCCGCTCCGGCCGCTCCCCGGGAGCGCGCGTGGCCCTTTCCCCAGGCGGCTGCGCCTTGGGCGCCGTTTCTGCGCACCTGCAGCGGTCCGGGGAGCCTTCCCCCGGGGCCGCGGGCGCAGGGGCGCCCCGTTCCCCACGCCCGCGGGCCGGGAGCGTGTGCCAGCCGCGGGGGCGCGCGTGTGCGTGTGCGTGTGCGCTGCGTGCGCCCTGCCTGCAGCAGAGAGGCCGAGCCGGGCTCCTGACTGACAGCTGCGCGGACTTCCTGTGCGCGCCGTGCTGGCTCGGGAGGCTTAACGCTTTGTGTGCAGCGGGGGAATCGGAGTCCGGAGGGGAGGGCGAGCGGTCCGGGGGCGGCCGAGCGCCTGCGTGCGCGGGGGGGGGGGGCGCGGGGGCGCCCGGCGGGGGCTTTTCTCGCCGGCGAGGGGGGGGAGGGGGGGGAGGGGGGGGGGCCGTTCCGCCAAGGGGCCGGCCAGCGGCGGGGGGGAGGGAGAGAAGGCGCTGCACTGCGGAAGAGCAGGACCGGAGAGGAAGAGGGGTCGCCCGATCCCTCGGCCCCCAGGTACGTCGCCTTTCCCGGCCCTGCGCAGCCGGCCGCCCCATCTCCTCCGCTCTCCGGCCCGCGCCCTCCATTCATCCATCTTCCCTCCTCCCTCGCTCCCTCCCTCCCTCCCTCGCTGGCGTTTTGGAGCCGGTTCCCACAGCAACAATGGCTGAGGCTGAATCCAGCACAAAGGGCTGGTTCTGGCAAAGGGGGGGCGATGGAGGCGGGGGTGGGGTGGGGTGGGGGAGGCCGAGCCGGCGCCCCCTGCTCCAGGGCGCCGGCGAGGACGACCCCGGGGGCCGGGCTGGGGATGCCCCGCTGGGGACCGAGGAGATCGCCAGGGGTGCTTTTCCAGCCCCCCCCCCCGCCCCGAAAGCCATGCCTGGCTGCTATCCTTGCGTGCAGGAAGGACGCCAAAGCCAGCCTCCCCACAACTGGCCCCTTCCAGATGTGTTGAACTACAACTCCCATTCTCCCCGAGCCGCGTGGCCAAGTCAGGTCATGGGATGGCGTAACGTGGTGTCTTGCAATAGCAGGGGGTTGGACCCGATGGCCTTCATGGCCCCTTCCAACTCCGCTATTCTATGTTTCTATAGGTGATGGTTGAGCCTGGTGTGTCTGTTCTGAATTGCTGCCTCTTGCCGCTAAAGGCACGGCTTGGTCCAGAGAGGCATTAATGGTTACGTGGTTGATGGGCATTGTAGTCCAGCACATTTGGAGAGCGGCAGGTTGCAGAAGGTGTGGTACAAATAATCTCTTCACACGGCTAAAACCACGGCTTAGCTGAGAGACATTAAAGACCGTGGGGCTGATGGGAGTTGTAATGCAATACATTCAGAGGGTGCCCAGTTGGGGAAGGTGGTCTATAGCATCTGCTAAAGGTTTGCCTTCGTTGTGAGAGGCATTAAAGACGATTTTGGAAGAGCAGGGGGCTGGGGTCCTTGGCCCTTCTCTGCCACACTTCGGCACTAACCCTGCTCCTAATTTAAATCAGTTTCGATTTAAACCGATTTGATTTCGAGATTCCGACAGAGGTTGTGCCTCCTGGCTGTGAGAAGGGAGTATCTTCTCTCTTTGAGGCGGCTTGGGAATTGGCTTCCAAAGACCCCTGATTTCAGCCTCGCCTCACAGTGCAGCATCTTTGCCTGCAAAGCACCTTTGGATCTTGGACCCATAAGGAGGGTGAAGTGGCGAATGCATAATATTTGAAACCTCTGTGAATGAACTTGCCAAACTGGGGCTCTTCAGATCGGCTAGACTGGAACACTCACCATTCTTGACCAGCATGGCCTTTGGTTGTACAAGGCTGCTATGGACATTTCAAATCACAACCATTTCAGTTGGAAATGTGTCCCTTTGTTTTGAATGAACTTGGTAGCATCCACTATAGATTCCCTGGGAGAATGATCCATTCTTTAATTGATATGTTCTGCTGTTTTGCTTTGATGGAAGAGAAGTACCTTTCACATCCTGGCCGTTCTTTTTTTGTATGAACAAAGGTTGTTTCCATGGGAGAGTTCTTCCCATTGGGGTAAAGAAACGTAGGACCATAAATACATGTCAAGGTTTGGAGAGGTTTGCTTTCCGCACAGCCTATGTTGAGGACCACAGATGCTGGAGAATGTCTTGAATGATTTAGGAAGGTGGTGAATCTTGGGCGATGGTTTGAATGCCATCTTTGGGATTTCTTTGCCATTTACCCTTTGCAGAGAAAAACTTTGCTTGGGATATTCAATATGCCCAAAGGCCAAACCATCAGCTCAGCTTCTTGTGAACCAATATTCAAATATTTGTGTTCAAAAATACCTGAATGCAAACCAGAGAATTGCAGGCATCAATGCTTCAAATGCTGATGTGTTTTAGGGTTCGTGCTGCACAATTGAAAGAGAATTGCCTGGATCATCAATTTTTTGTGATCCTATAATGAAGAGCTGCTCAGTTGTAACACATTCAGCTGTTAGGGCCACTAGTGTAGTTTGCTATTCAGGACAGTATGCAAACTATATATAGATTATTTAATTTGGCTAAGGTACAGTAATGGGGCAGAGAAGATGCCCAGTATCTGAAAGCTTTGCATCCACTCCGGTGCATGAAGATTTTAGACGATCCGCTACATTAAAATCCCGCCACTTTCTCACTTAGGTTTGTCGTCTGTTTACACTCACCAAGATGGCTTCTTCTTCCTCCTGCAATGTGGAAGATGACGAGAGCCTGAAGGGATGCGAACTCTATGTTCAGAAGCACAACATCCAGCAAATTCTGAAAGAGTGCATTGTGAACCTCTGCATTGCCAAACCGGATCGGCCAATGAAGTTCTTGCGGGAGCACTTTGAGAAACTGGAAAAGGTCAGTGGCGGCTCAGTATTTGCTGTGGCAGCGTGTGCACATTTAAGAGCAAATCAGGATCAGCATCTTTCCAATGATTAGGAATCAGCCTTAGTCCAGCTCAGAGCATGGTCCATCCGTTGTCCTGAATTTCAGACTTTCCTAGCCTTAGACAGAGATGTTGAGGACTGAAGTCAAGACTTTGCACGTGCAAAAAAAGGCACTCAGGTCACTGTGGTTTGATATACACTGTATCTCAACTGTTTGCATTTATGTTCTGTTCTGTAAAAATAACTGGGGGGAAAAGTCACTATGGTTTGAGAGAACTATGGTCTCTTCTTGCAATGTAGAACTTTCTTGAGACTGGTTTTCTTCCCAGAATGGTTCAATGGACAGGTCTCTCTCTCTTTCTGCCTCTTTCTCTGCCTCTCTCTGTCTGTCTCTCTCTCTCTGTCTCTCTCTCTCTCCCATCTGTCTGTCTGTCTGTCTGTCTGTGTCTCTCTTTTTCCATACCAGTCCAATATAATTGCTTGATTATTATTTTGACGCTAAGGATATACTGAAAGCTGAATTGCAACTCTTCTAACGTCATTTGCGAAGACTTTTTCCAGGGGTGCAAGAACCCTGCCTTCTGCTCTGCCTTGTTTTCGTTTCCCTCGAGGGTCAGGTGCCCCTGGGGAGTCCTCTGTTGGGGCCACATGTCAGCAGTGGGCAGGACCAGAGGCAGCAATGGCTGGGTCACTTTTACTGCCCCTGCTTTGCTCTTTGTGCTTTGCAGGTTTGATCCCCAGCGGCTCCAGGTGGGGCTGGGAAAGGATCTCCCCTGAGACCCTGGAAAGAGAGCGGCTGCTGCCAGTCAGTGTCTGCAAAACTGAACTGCATAGGGGATTTCCTAGTGTGTAGTGTGGAAGCAGTGCTACCAGTCCAGACCTCCCTTCCATAACTGAGGAAGGGGTCCGTACTGCACACATTTGAATTCCGAATCAGGCCGTGGTGCGTTCTAATATAAGATTGTTGTGCGCCTTTGGCATAGCAGGAAGTATTGTTGGGGTGTTCTTAATGATGCTGCAGGAGGTGTGATGGGGACAGTTTTGCCGCCTGGGAACTGAGATGCGTCTTCTTTATCATCCTTGGTTGTCCAGGGATTCCATGTGTGGGTCAGCTTGACCAGTGAAAAGATGCTTGTGGCTTGGCGGCCTTCCATGTGTGTCTTTGGAGCAGCTCTGAAACCTTCCTTCCCTTCCCTGTTGCATTTTTAATCAACTAAGGAGATTCCGTGCACATGAATCTATGCATTGCTTTGAAAATGAAAGATGGGGGAAGCACAATACCACCGTGAAGCTTGAGGGAAGCTCAGTTTGTTGAGATGTATGGCTATCATCTAAAAGCTAAAGCAAAACTGGAATCACACGGTGGGAGAAAAACCGACTGTTTTCTTAATTTTATGTCTTTTTTCCAACCTTGGAAGGAGTGTTTGTATATGTGGACAACCTTTGAAAGCTCAGGGCTGGCCAACTGTGTAAGGAGAGGAACTCTGAGGTTTTGCCACGGGTCAGATTTAAACCCAGGGCTCTCCGGTTTCAGAAAGATACTGGAGCTCAGAGGTGGAGTCCTTGCTTTGCATGCAGAAGGTCTTGGGTGCGTTCCCAGCATTTCCAAGGAAAGCAGAAGCACCTTGCCCGAACTCACGGCCAGCGAGTGCCAATCAGGGCTGGTGGATGCCTGCTTTAGAAGTGTCAGGTTCATCCTGGCAGTTCCCATTCCCTTGCCCTCAAGGCAAGTCCAGGAGCACGGGCACCTGTGCTGATCCATGCCGACAAACCCAATGGAGCCATCTTCATTCTGGCTGGGAGCAGCTGTTGTGTTAAGCTAATGAGCCTTAATAGCTTGTTCCAGACCAAGCAACGCCAACGTATTTTGCCATACAGCAGGGAACGAGATACCCTTGCTGGGAAAATCCATTTCTGCCCAGCTGTTGTGAGGGCCGCAGCTAAACGCGGAGAGAAAAGGGAAGTCCGAGAGGGCTGGCAGATGGCTCCATGCCTCCTGCCCATCAAAAAGTGCCAGACCTGGGTCCATGTGAACTCTGGGCCCTCTACACCTCTGGTCAGCATGGAGGTAACCATAGCCAGTAGGGTCAAGGAAATGGAAATCCCGTTGCGTTGGAGGGGGGAGATTTCTTTACATTCCTGGCTGGTGTCCTTCTGGTTGCCTGCCTTCTTTGCAATCCCATTCAGTCTAAGATACGCAAAGGAGAACACCATCACCTTTCCAAATCTGGAGCTTCGGTATGTCACTGCAGGGAAATTCCGCTTTTGCACCGTGTTGCAGAATGCAGAAGACTGGGATGGAGGTTATTCACATTTGCTCTGAATCATTTATGCTGAGGGGCCATTGGATATGGTGTAGCCCCATGTCAGAGGTCAGAGATAGTGCTCTGACCATCAAGCTGGGATCGGAGCTCCAAACACCCTCCCCGTTAAAAGCATTGCTGAAAACACTGCGCAGCTGCTCTCTGAGGTTGGGAGAGTGACCTCGGAGAGGGGTGAAAGGATGGGAGCTGTCCTCTCCAGCCACCATCCTTCCCCCTCCAAACACTCCAGGCAGACAGGTACAACGCTCGGCTAGCAGAAAAGCCAGGCTGCAGGATGGAAAGGCAGATCATCTGCACAGCCTCTTCTGCTTTGTGCTGGATGCCTGGACTTCGCAGCGGTTCCCACAGGAAAGCCTCCTTCCTATTTAGACTGGGCTCTTCCCACCAAGCGTGTCTTCTTCAGGGGATTCCAATTAGCCTCGGTGTGCATTGGCCATCTTCTTGCAGCCCTTGGCTACTGGCGATCTGGCCCAGCCTTGTTGCTTCAGAGGGCAAGGGCTGAAGGAACGGTGGAGGTGGCTCACGGACGGGTTGGCGGCCAAGAAGTCCAGGTGCCTCAGCCCCACCTGCAAAGATGGCTCGTACAGAGGCTCGGCTTGCCCGCAAAATGGCTGAGCGACGTCCCAGAAGGATTTTGAAAGTGCGTCCTGAAACCTCATCGCTTGCTCTCTCTCCCTTGCCCATCTAGCGCACCAGCCCCGCGGATGCGATGCCAGCAGGCGAGTGCTGTATAAATAATGCTTAATAAGAATCCTCTGTGTTTGCAAAACGCATTTCGAGAAACGCCAGCGGCAGAGCCAGCTACGGTGCACGAGAAAGAAGCTTTGTTTCTTACGGCATTGGCCTCATGCCAGCAAGTAAAGATACAGGCTTAGCAAAATCATGACTCTCCCCTCCCCCCAGGAACACAGCCATCCCTTTCTTTCCTCCCTCAGTGATTAGTTTTTGTCTAACGATGAGGGCGTGGTGGATGTCAGAGGCAAGTGCGCGAGGGCACTTCTCCAGGGAACTTACTTTGATGTGGCCTCTAATATTTACCCTTTAAAAAAAAAAAAGGTCATGGATATTGGAGCTTTTCCCATGGTCTTCCCAGGGGGTGGATTCTACACACAAGGTGTTGTAAGAGGCTAGACAGGTACCTGGGATGCAGGTGTGTCAGCGGCAGGCTGATTGGTGGTCCAGGGCAGGGATGGACCACTTCAGTGGCTATGGGCAGGGGCGAGGGGGGAGATGCCTTGTCCTCCCTGAAACTCACCATGGACTGTACCATGTTGTCCCTGCCCTGCAAGGCAACTCTTGTTTTTTGAAGCGCCCCATCTCATGTGGGGCTTCAAAGATGCGGGGAAAGGGGAGTGCTGCATGGTACCCTGAAGAGCTTCAAGGCAAAGCCGACATTGCTCTAAAAGCTCCCAGCTGTGGTCTTCAATCTGGGATCTCCGGTGCAGGAAGCATGTCTGAGGCATAGGATTGGCCTTCTGGTGTCAGCTGCCTCCATGACATAGGAGGATTCTGGGCTGACGTGCCAGTGTCCCAGCTCGAGAAGCTTGTAGTTCTCTCTTCCGGCCAGCAAGGAGCTAGTCCCTAATGCACAGGAATCCCCTTTGCAGAGCCTACTGCCCCTCCCACTTTGCAAGTTTCGGAGTCTTCTGCATTCGAACCCATCAGGCTCAGAACTCCAGAGGAGGATGACCACTGTGGAACTGTTTGCTGCCTGTCACACTCTGGGACTTGTGGGGACCTTGAGGAGAGTCCAGCTGGCCACAGTGAAGGAGATGAATGGGAAAAGCAGGGCTATGCCCCTAGGCCTGCTGAAAGTATATTTTTCCTCCTCCCTCCCCATTCTTTTTTTCCTCGCATGCTATGTCTTTTGGGATTGCAAACCTGCACAGAGGGATGCCCTGATTTAATTGATTAACTGGAAGCCTCGTTGGGGACGTTTTTAAGCTGAGGGGTAGCATAAAATACCTCAAACCAACCAAGACATCAACTCTTGCTTGGGACCCTGAGGAACTGGGTGCTCTCCTGCTTGTCTTAAAGGAACTGCTGTCAATTCTTTCTGTCTCATCCGAATAGTTTTCACCTTCCCTCATTAGTGCCTGATGTTTCACAAAGCGCTCCTAGCAGCATGTTATGTATGTGGCTTGACGTTACAGCAAAATGTATCATAAAAGCGACGTCTGCCGAGATGCGAGCATGAATTTTGCATGAAAAGCTTGCATTTGGAAACGACGGTTAGGCTAAATGCATTCGGAAGGAGCGAAAATGCGATTCTCATGTGCGTGACAGCGAAACAAGTTGGGAGAAAACAGGGATGGAGGCCCTGAAAAGGTCACTGTCATGGTAGGAACGTGAAGATGAAGCACGGATCTTCTGCGGTCAGAATTTTTACATGAATCCCAGAAGTCATATGCAGAGGCGTAATTTCTGGAGCAGCAGGCAAGACCTGGATTTGAAAGCTGCACATTGTCTCCGTCATGACGGAGAGGCATTTTGCTAGCCCCTTTATGTGCCCACCTGGGTGCCCTGATCCAATGCGAGGTCCAGACCGAAGTGCGACAGGCGAGATCGAGGGACAGGGCCTTCTCAGGTGTGGCGCCCATGCTGGGAGTGCCCTGCCTGGGGAATCCCACCCAGCCTCACCGTTACT